CCATGATATAGTGCGATAAGTACGAAATCGTCCTTGAGACTTGTCTCTGCCACTCCCTTTCTCAGTAAGGGAATGCTGGTCTTCCCTGAGAAACGCGCCTCTAGGCTTATAATTCCCTGACTTGGACTTTCCAAGCTTTTTGGGAACTTGACGTGCGTGTCTGCGATCTGTTCGTTGAACAGGGGAGTAGATGATCAAGGTTGACGTAATAGACTGCCCTTGAAACCAGCATCTCAGTTGGAAACGCTATAAAGTCTTGGGTGTAACGGTAATCACCGTCAGAACGGTCTCAAGATGAATTTTCCTGTGGTCAAACTGACGCTGTAGGAAAAACACCATAGTTTGGAAGTGATCTAATCAGATAGGGTTATCCTCTAATAGATTCTGATCCACTGCAAACATTGACGATATTGGTCGCTTAAATCACGGAGCAAATGTGAGTTTTGGAGAAGTCTTCCTCCAATGACCTCGTGGTGTCCCTCTTATTTACCCTGTTATCAGGGGAGGGCGTTACTGACACGAGATGGTCTGCTTCCCAATCGGGTACATGTGCTAAGCTGATCATGTGCCGGTTACGTAACCGAGTACACTGTAAGCCTTGGGATAACGTCATTGTAGAGAACTTGATTGATACGCAGACGCTGCGCTCAGCGCAGGTCTGAAATGTTGGAACAGCGCTAAGCTGATCGTGCAACGTTTGCGTAATAGGAGCGCTTGGGTATCAGTCAGACGTTGCGCTCGGCGCAGGTCTATGCTGGATATGTTGGAACAGCACTAAGCTGATCGTGCGCCGCTTGCGTAATAGAAGTGCTTGGGTTGTAGTCAAGTGCTGCGCTCGGCGCAGATAAATCAGACACAAAGCTCAAAAGTATTGACTGGATCAAGGCTTGCGTCTAATCTACCCCCATCATAGCATCTCGATACGCTGGTGCTGGTGCTGTCGCCGACGTCACAGATTATCATACATGTATCTGGAAGTGTCCGGCGGCTGAAAAAATAGGAGCAGTTACGATACTCACAAAATCCTCCGGTATTGTTGATTTCGGTGGATGGTGTACTTCTGCAATCACAGGCGTCATAATACCTGCCGATAATAACGGTTGGGTGGTAATGACAGAACCATATGTCATTCGCTATTCTGCGATAGTGACATTCCTCTCGTCTCACGACGGAATAACTGCAAAATATGATTGTGAGTAATCTGCTTTTATATAGTAAACTCGTTGGATTAGAGATTTACATAAAAATTACATTTTGAATTTTGGCGAGCACATCTACGTGCATGCCTATGACAGTGGATAAAGAGCTTTGGGCGATTATTCCACGACAATATGTACACCGAGCAAACATAATTATGTTACGCAATTAAACCATTGAAGAAATGGTACTGGAAGAATGCCGTAGAATTGAACAGTAATCTATCGGCAAAAATACGAATTGCAAGGGTATACAATATTTTTATATACGCAATTCAATGTAAACCAAGGCTATTTACATTTAGAGATTGGAGAGCACATCCGCGCGCAAACCAACCAATCGTGGATGATAATCTTGTAAGGTTTTTTCCATGACAATTAGTAAAATGCTCAAAGGTATGTTACGCAATGAAACCCTTGTTGATGAGATAATACTGGAAGAGTGCCGAAGAATTTGAACACTAATCTATCGGCAAATTTATGAGTTGCAAGGATATACAATATTTTTGTATGCGCAACCCAATGTAAACCAAGGGTATTTATATTTTCATTTAGGGTTTGGAGAGCACATCTGCGCGCAAACCAAACAACGTGGATGATAATCTTTGTAAGATTTTTCCCACGACAATTAATACCACGCTCAATCATAAGTTACACAATTACATATATATATGTATAATGTATAATCAATATATATATATATGTATAATCAATGTCTGTACATATAGAGTAGGGAAAGGGCCACCTAAGTTGGATAACTTTTGCCCAATCCCGTTGACCATATATGTCAATAAAATATGTTTAAAACAAACACAATTACGCCATTGTTGATGAGGCGGTACTGGAAGAATGCCATAGAATTGAACAATAATCTATCGGCAAAAACTACGAGTTGCAAGAGTATACAATAGTTCATATACGCAACTCAATGTAAAACCAAAAATACCAACAAAAAACTATTTAATCGCATAAACATAGGTACGCAATAAAAGAATTGTTGATGAAGCGGGACTGGAAGAAAGCCGTAGATTTGATATTAATCTATCGGCAACCATATTTTTAACGAGTTGAAAAAGTATACAATAATTTTAGTATACGCAACTCACTGTTACGCCAAAGCTAGTAATATTTAAGAACATAAGAATATGTTATACATACGTAGCTGAGAATTGTAAACAATATGACTACCTTGGCAGGCAAACGATTGTAACACAATTCAAAATGGCGGCGAACAACAATATTTTGGCGGGAAAAAAGACAAGAGTCTTTTCACGCCTAATTAATTCACATAAAACTACACAACATGGTGAAAGTAATATGAAAAGAATACATCACCCATCGCAGATCAATTTTTAAGATTGTAGACAAACTGAAGGTCTAAAATTAATCCAAAAGGAGAGCTCCGCTTGGACACGTCCTAGCTGTGCTGCGACAAGCAGTGATGTGAAGATGACCTTAGGTGTCATCAAGGTCAGAGGACAGCGACGGAAGGCCACTGATTGGGACTTGAGAACAACAACTTTATTTCTTCACCCAGGACCTTCGCAGCGCTGTCCTTCTAGTTGTCGTAAGTAAGCAGTGAATGCATTAAGGAGTAATGCAGGATAAGTAAAAAATAACATATATAACTTCCCTATCTCCGAAAAATGTTAGTACCGTATTCGACGTAATAAGCGCCCAGGGCGCTCTCAAAATTAGAAATAGGGGGCTCTTATAGAATATTATTTTGGTGAAAAAAAAACAAAGTTAAAAGATAAATTTCGTGGTTTATGCTGACAGCCTGAACTCTTTATATACGACAGATATATTTTTCCAGAATTTATTTGCCCATAATTAAGGGTGCATATAACACACGAGTGCGTATTATACGCAAATAAATAAGTCTTGTGTACATTGATCAATCGGAAGGGGTGCTAATTGGGTTTGTTCACTTGCCAATATATTATATATATTATCAGTGTGGGCGCTTATTAGAGCGGGGCGCTTATTACATCGAATACGGTACTTATAATACAGCCTGCCAGACATCCTTCAACATTTCAGAGAACACACATCATTTAGGAAAGTGTGCCTAATGTTTTACAGTGGAGTTTACACTTAACACTGACGTAAAAATATGGCTAAAAGATCCGCATGTTGGATTACATGAGAAATTCAAGACATTATCCTCTTCCATTGGACTGGCACTGTGATACATTGAAAAGTCAAAACGACAATAATATTGTGTAAGGTGGCAAGGTCATCTGATAGTATATCAGTGCACACTGCAACATCTGTTGATGTGAGTTTCCTTCCCACAAAGATTAATGTACCACATATTACAGAGTATCGGTGAAGTTTTTAAGGCCAAAATAGAGGGCAAAGAAAGGGGGTCGTCCAATACACCAAGATACAAGTGTCTACAGAGATTACCCCAAGTGTGTGTTTATGTAGTAGATGCCAGGAAATCACAGACAGGTGCTTGACAAATGGTCAACAACACATCCATCAACTTGGACCAAATATTCCCTTAGGACAGAGATTAAATCATAATTTTCATGTGTGATCCCAACAAGTAACTGAACTTATAAATAACCATAAATTAACCCTGATCACCTTAAAAGCCAAGAGACTATTGCCCCCACAGCAAATCAACAAGCCTGGAAATAATTCTTGATTTGAATAACTTTACAAAATTCAATGAAATGATTATACAAAGAAAATGAGACGAAAAGCTCCGGTGTAAGAAAAATGCCTTCCGACCGACCATACTGTGCAATATACTGTAAATCATGAAATTAATGTGTTGTCAAACGAATGCAAGTTTCAACCCCTGGCCTAACATGCATCATGAAATCAATGCAAGCAGCCCCACCCAAACTGTCATCTTAGAATCCATGGGATCATAGTTTGACTGAATAATATTGTTTGCCTTCTTCACAAATTGAACGTCTTCTGCATGAGATGTGATGTAATTCCAGGTAATCAATCGCAGGACATTCCAAACAAAGCATATTCAAATGAGCTAGGTCATGTCACCGACAAAGACTGTAAAAATATCCAAGTGCTGTTACACTAATAAGCACAATCCGTTGCCAAACAGTGTAACCACCACAGCTGCTGTTACAGTACTGGACATTTTCACTACGTGGTTTTAGAGCACAGCTTTGCTTGTAATGAGGTTTGTTTGTTGTTTGTTGTTTGTTGATTTATGCCGCACTCAGTAATATTCCAGCTATATGACGGTGGTCTGCAAATAATCGAGTCTGGACCAGACAATCCAGTGATTGACATCATGATCATCGATCCGCGCAATTGGGATACGATGACATGCATCAACCAAGTCAGCGAGCCTGTGCATGTACATCTTCCCGAGGCAAGAGAGTAAACTGACTATACAAGTCCAGTTTCCACCCTTGCCGAACTACGCTGGTATTATGGAGTTACATTTTGGCTGGACTAACGAGTCTATGCATAGTCCAATCAAACACGCGCACCGAAATCGAAATCCGGTTTGTAAACTGTCGTGCAGATTTTGGTCGATTGCAGGATTTGCAAAGCATGTGCACCGCCAACTTGTTGTCAGCAGATATTTTCCAAATCTTTTCATGTTTTTAAACAAGGTGCTCACGTGGTTTGATGCATTTCGCGATGTAAGACCCGTTTTATCACGATATAGAACTTGATCATCGATCAGATCGTCCTGACTGGGCGCCACCATTTTGTGTGAAGCAAACACAAGTGATACGAGAGGTGGAATCTGATTGGTCCATAGGAGAGGTTTAGAAGGGACATAACTAGTTATAGCCACTGGTGGCGCTACGATCAAGGCCAGGAATTCCAGTCTAGTTCGGCAAGGGTGGAACTGGACTTTTAAAGTCAGTTAACTCTCTTGCCTCGGGAAGATGGTGCATGTAATGTGATTTTTTGCTTGTAATGATATTTTTTTTGCCCAAAACAAGGGTGCCGTCATACATGGTTGGCGTCTAATAACTTGTGTAAACAAAGTGAGCACACTTGACACGGTACACTAAATTTAGCGCCGGTTGCATTGCTTCTTCAAAGCTTTGTTATGTAGGTCATTGCATCAGGAATGTGCAGTGAACCTGACAAGACAATAAACTCCCTGATACCAGAGTTAATGCAAACATGGGATAATCACATCTTTTGCATTAATTTAAAACTCACATTAACTTCAGGATAAAGAAAGTAATCTAACTCTAGCTATGTAATATATTAGCCTTTGTGCTTATCAACACACCTCTTCATGAGTTCCAAATATTATTGATTTTGATTTGACAATCCATTATGACCAATGGAACAATTACTAACCTGAAGCCAGTTTCATGTCTATTAAAGCAGACTAACTGATTGAACCATTGTATGCTAGTGTGGCCACCCCATAGCACCATTGCTTGAAAACAAAAGGGGAGATAATTCCTAACTTCCTGTTTCTATTTCTTCTTACTCTTCTCATGGTAGTACTCTTGTGCCTTGGACACAGCCAATGGAATGGTATCAGCAGATTTAGTTGAATAGGAAAACAAAAGTTCGGGCACATCAGTACTTTCTCGTGAAAAGGCAGCACATTTGGACAGAAGGTCATAGGCAATGCTGTCGGACACGACGGAGTCTTGCTTGTAATCTGGATGGTTGTTGACCAATTCGCGAATCCATCGTGCTGTTGTCATCAACTCACCTAAAACAACAAATGGAGCATTCATCATATAATTACAAAAGACTATGGGATTTTAAATTTGTAAGCAAATAACATTAATGTTTTCTGACGTACATCCTTGCTTCTGATCCTTCACCATGAATTTCAATAAATCATAATCCACATCTGGAAAACAGCACTAGTGCTTTCAAGCCTATAGTCCTCAAAACAATTCATAGTGGTTAAAGTATTCATAGGACTTGTAGAAATCACAGAATGTAGACCTACAAGGCTCTGAAGTTCACCTAAATTATGAAGAAATAATGGCAGCCATGTTTAAATTAGATCAAAATTCTGTGAGCACTCTCTGGGTACTCCATAGCTGGGATGCTTCAAACAACGTTTCAGCCCCACAGGCCTTGCAGTTTCAGCTCCACAGGTCTTGCAGTTTCAGCCCCACAGGCCTTGCAGTTTCAGCTCCACAGGTCTTGCAGTTTCAGCTCCACAGGTTTTGCAGTTTCAGCTCCACAGGTCTTGCAGTTTCAGCTCCACAGGCCTTGCAGTTTCAGCCCCACAGGCCTTGCAGTTTCAGCTCCACAGGTCTTGCAGTTTCAGCTCCACAGGTCTTGCAGTTTCAGCTCCACAGGTCTTGCAGTTTCAGCCCCATAGGCCTTGCAGTTTCAGCTCCACAGGCCTTGCAGTTTCAGCCCCACAGGCCTTGCAGTTTCAGCTCCACAGGTCTTGCAATTTCAGCCCCATAGGCCTTGCAGTTTCAGCCCCACAGGTCTTGCAGTTTCAGCTCCACAGGTCTTGCAGTTTCAGCCCCACAGGCCTTGCAGTTTCAGCCCCATAGGCCTTGCAGTTTCAGCTCCACAGGTCTTGCAGTTTCAGCTCCACAGGTCTTGCAGTTTCAGCCCCACAGGCCTTGCAGTTTCAGCCCCACAGGCCTTGCAGTTTCAGCTCCACAGGTCTTGCAGTTTCAGCTCCACAGGTCTTGCAGTTACAGCTCCACAGGCCTTGCAGTTTAAGCCCCACAGGCCTTGCCTTGCAGTTTCAGCTCCACAGGCCTTGCAGTTTCAGCTCCACAGGCCTTGCAGTTTCAGCTCCACAGGTCTTGCAGTTTCAGCTCCACAGGTCTTGCAGTTTCAGCTCCACAGGTCTTGCAGTTTCAGCCCCATAGGCCTTGCAGTTTCAGCCCCACAGGTCTTGCAGTTACAGCTCCACAGGTCTTGCAGTTTCAGCCCCATAGGCCTTGCAGTTTCAGCCCCATAGGCCTTGCAGTTTCAGCTCCACAGGTCTTGCAGTTTCAGCTCAACAGGTCTTGCAGTTTCACCTCCACAGGTCTTGCAGTTTCAGCCCCACAGGCCTTGCAGTTTCAGCCCCATAGGCCTTGCAGTTTCAGCCCCACAGGCCTTGCAGTTTCAGCCCCATAGGCCTTGCAGTTTCAGCCCCACAGGTCTTGCAGTTACAGCTCCACAGTCTTGCAGTTTCAGCCCCACAGGCCTTGCAGTTTCAGGGATGTTGAAAATATATTAGTCAAACCTGCTGGGGAAATAATTACCTGAGGCTCTTTTGGAGATGAGCTGTAGATACTGCAGGATGGTGCAGCGAGTGTCCACGTCCGTCTCCACACTGTCCATGTACTTGTTCATCAGGGACATCAAACCAACAAAATCTCCCTGAAACAATGACACCACAACGTCACAACTAGTTTGCAATATCAGGCCCAGGGTTTCTATCATGCAGGATCCCTGTGTATTTGATGGAATCAGATGATGCAAACTATTTAATGCTGTGCATCTTGTCAAGTGCAATTACTTACTTCCAAGTACTATATCAGTGTACTGTTAAATGGCCTCCAAGTACTATATCAGTGTACTGTTAAATGACTTCCAAGTACTATATCAGTGTACTGTTAAATGGCCTCCAAGTACTATATCAGTGTACTGTTAAATGACTTCCAAGTACTATATCAGTGTACTGTTAAATGACTTCCAAGTACTATATCAGTGTACTGTTAAATGACTTCCAAGTACTATATCAGTGTACAGTTAAATGACTTCCAAGTACTATATCAGTGTACTGCAAAATGACTTCCAAGTACTATATCAATGTACTGTTAAATGGCCTCCAAGTACTATATCAGTGTACAGTTAAATGGCCTCCAAGTACTATATCAGTGTACTGTTAAATGACTTCTAAGTACTATATCAGTGTACTGTTAAATGACTTCCAAGTACTATATCAGTGTACTGTTTAATGACTTCCAAGTACTATATCAGTGTACTGCAAAATGACTTCCAAGTACTATATCAATGTACTGTTAAATGGCCTCCAAGTACTATATCAGTGTACAGTTAAATGGCCTCCAAGTACTATATCAGTGTACAGTTAAATGGCCTCCAAGTACTATATCAGTGTACTGCAAAATGACTTCCAAGTACTATATCAGTGTACTGTTTAATGACTTCCAAGTACTATATCAGTGTACTGTTTAATGACTTCCAAGTACTATATCAGTGTACTGTTTAATGACTTCCAAGTACTATATCAGTGTACTGTTTAATGACTTCCAAGTACTATATCAGTGTACTGCAAACTGACTTCCAAGTACTATATCAGTGTACTGTTTATTGACTTCCAAGTACTATATCAGTGTACTGTTTAATGACTTCCAAGTACTATATCAGTGTACTGTTTAATGACTTCCAAGTACTATATCAGTGTACTGTTTAATGACTTCCAAGTACTATATCAGTGTACTGTTTAATGACTTCTAAGTACTATATCAGTGTACTGTTTAATGACTTCCAAGTACTATATCAGTGTACTGTTTAATGACTTCCAAGTACTATATCAGTGTACTGTTTAATGACTTCCAAGTACTATATCAGTGTACAGTTAAATGGCCTCCAAGTACTATATCAGTGTACAGTTAAATGGCCTCCAAGTACTATATCAGTGTACTGTTAAATGGCCTCCAAGTACTATATCAGTGTACTGTTTAATGACTTCCAAGTACTATATCAGTGTACAGTTAAATGACTTCCAAGTACTACATCAATTTACTGCTAAATGGCCTCCATGTACTATATCAATGTACTGCTAAATGGCCTCCATGTACCATACCAATGTACTGGTAAATGACTTCCAAGTACTATATCAGTGTACAGTTAAATGGCCTCCAAGCTCTATATCAATGAACTGCTAAATGACTTCCAAGTACTATACCAATGTACTGCTAAATGGCCTCCAAGTACTATATCAATGTACTGCTAAATACAGGCAAATGATAACTGACCCTGATTTGACATCTCCCAGAATACTACATAACTGTGTCTACACATTAGGGGATGTTCCTTTGATGTCCTTCTGAAAAGGTGATGTTTACTCACGGAGTGACAGGTCACCCTGATGTAAGGAGTGATTGTAAGCTTGCATATTTAAATTGATTGTAGACATTCAAGCATTAATCACTTCTATTCATTTTAATATATCAAAAGAGAACAAAGTCATCGATGTCGTGGATAAATGTATGAAACTTGATGTCATTGAAATGTGAAAATGTTTTTGTTTCTTTAAAAATCCAAAACTATCAACAGGCACCAGTACAAAACTAGACCTATCTAGTTAAGACCCAAGTTTAGTGAAGAAATATCGTACGGTTTTCAAGATCTGCTCCGGAAACAACATCTTGCACAGACAGACTGACACAGTGTCCATTTTAATATTCCCCACAAAACACATTGCCAGGGATAACAATAATTCATTATTAATTTGTGGTCAGTTCGGTACCAGTATTTTCATTCAAGAAATAATTTTTCAAAAATGCCAAATCATGACAAAAAGTGGGACACCACCACAATCAACGATTGTTTGTTGTAACAAACCTGCTACAAACAGTAACTCATGATGACATCCTCACAGATTCCACAAAACCAGTCAAATTGGTGTGTTTCTGCTGGACCACCTACCTTGCCATTGATGATTTCATCGATGCTCATCAATGTGTATTCATCGGCAATACACTTGCAGGGAGTCTTCTCACAGTTCACCATACACTCTGCAGCCTCAGGCGGGGAGCAATCTGTCAACACAATACTTAGAGAACAACCCAGAAACACTAAGGAAATACTCATTATCTGTCCCAAGTAAATTCATTTGCAAATCATGACCTTTGGCGAGGGACTTTCAACATTAATTGACAAAAGGACAGATAATGTCATCATGGTTATTCTTAGGTTTCTCTATAAATCACCCATATGGTCAACTATAGGCATACAGTCATCGACTGACTAAGAGTGAGTGAGTGAGTATGGTTTTTGCCACTTTTAGCAATATTCCAGCAATATCAGGGGGGTAGAGGGTGGGAACACAAGAAATGGGCTTTACACAGTGTACCCATGTGAGGAATCGAACCTGGGCCTTCAGCGTGACAAGCAAACGCTTTAACCACTAGGCTACCCCATCGCCCTGACTGACTAAGGGTGACCTGTGATTGCTAATAATGGACACCTAATGGTACATCAATCATTGTGTGTTCCTCACCTGTGACAACATCCTTCCTGAAGTAGAACCGGCCCTGTCTGACTGCGTCTCTCTTTGAGGCCGTTTTCATGTTTTCATCAACCTACAGAGATAAAGTGAGTGAGTGAGTGAGTATGGTTTTACATCGCCTTTAGCTATATTCCAGCAATATCATGGCGGGGGACAACAGAAATGGGCTTCACACATTGTACCCATGTCGGGAATCGAACCTGGGTCTTTGGCATGGCGAGTGAACGCTTTAACAACTAGGCTACCCGACTGCCCCTACAGAGAGAAAGGAAACTACATTTCTAGGTACAAGTCATTTCACTAAGTCGCTTTTTGGTTAGTTTGCTCATTGTTTATCGCCACACTCAAAAATATTCCAAGTATATGACAGTGACCTGTAAATAACTCTGGACCACACAATCTAGGGACAGACATTAAGGACAAATGATCCACGCCCAAGCCTGACCTCCTGATCCATTAAGTTACAACCAGCTTAGCTTGCTGGGGACCTATTCTTACCCGGACTATCCATTGGGTCATTTCACTATGAAGCATGCTGAACTAACAATGATCCAAATAGCAATGTGTTCATTGGGGAAGTTCAAAAGTTATGACTGGTGTTTACATATTATAGCCATATATTTTCACTGATTCTTGTGTACATTGCTACAATAGGGGCACCACGGACTGATTAAACTACTGCTGCACTGCACTGTGGTGTACGGACAAAAGCCCTCATAGACAAAACCCCCTTGGACAATAGGCCCCTGGGACAAAATCCCCTTAGGACAAAAGCCCTTATCTGACAAACGGGTCAAAAGCTCCTACATTGTTGATGTGTCAAAATATCAATCGCTGACATGGATACCCCACAATACTGTCAGTTGCTTTGATGGATGGAAACCAGTGGATATAATACTGATAACCATATTTGAACATTCCAAGTTGACTTATGTCAGTTTAGATCTTTATGTCCGATCATAACTCATCAACTTCCCCTGCAATCTAAACCAAGAAAAATGTCAGACATGTGCTGTTTGGGCCTCAACCACTCCAAACATATCAGATGGCCTTTCAAATTTATTTTACATCACTTTGACAGTATTTCATTTACATAACTGCAAATCAGCTTAATGTGTGTTGGAGTATAAGGTGATACAGGGCGTAGATGTCTACCACTTTAGTGAAACCAACAGGAACTGTTATGACACTGACAGAACCAGGCACACATCCGGGAAGCTAAGGGAAGCAACTCTGCCTTGCCTAAGCCCACTGTGCCCCTGGTGAACATCTGCAGGTACTACATACCACACAATATTACCCATAAGGGTACGGATACACCTAAAGTTATTTTCAGTAATTCCCACTGAGCATTATAACAATTGTTCCACTGTTTTACTGTTTGCAAAGAGCCCCATAGTAACATGATATTACGTGAACGCATTGTCACAAATCGGTCCTGGGTATCAATTATTATAGCCTGGAGATATGCGATCAACTCCTGCAATCTCATTAGAATCAGATCTTAGTTCTTGCTACCGCTTAACAAAGATCTGAGGACATCCCATTAGGGGTCACGTCAGAATGACCTTTCATCCGACCAATCAGAGCGTCGCTTACCAGATCATGAAAGTGACAGTCGGAATGTAATTTCTAATCATGCAGCCTCGAAAATGTTAAAACGGGGTATTCCGAACGATAGTTACGGGCTTAACGACTGAATCTATAAAATCTAGACCATATATTAGCCATTCTAGAACTTTCTTTTGTTCAGGTTTCAAATTTTTAAGTGAGAATTTGTCAAAATGTTTCGAAGCATAGTTGCCAATTTGAAATTAGTGCCGTAAAGCACGAGAAAGCTGCCTTCTGATTGGCTAATGTCGACTTCTTGTCAGTAATTCCATTGGTCGGTCAGAGTTTGCGAAAGGTCGGTCTGACGTGACCCGAAATGGGATGTCCTCAGATCTTTGTTTAGCGGCAGCGAGAACTAAGATCTGATTTTAATGAGATTGTCAACTCCTGTTAGTCAGACATGACTGGTTGCATGTGATTATGTCAGATCCACGAGCATGTCACATAAACGGAAATAAGTAGTATCAACATTCGGGATTGAAAATCCGACAACTACATGATAGATAATGATACATATACGTTGTAATAAAATAATGAAAAATAAAAATATTAATATTGTTAAATTTTATTGTTAGCGGAACATGTTCTCTGATCTTGCAATCTCTAAAGCTGAACTACTGTTACGGACTGTATGCCTGATTCAAATTACTTTTGAAAGTGTAGACGCCAATTTGAAACTAGTGCCGCAAAGCTCAAGAAAGATGCTTTTTTAGTGGCTGTGCTGTTTTGTGTATTGAAAGCATTACTTGTTTATTGTTAAGTGAGTTTATGTCTGCAGCTGTTGTAATATGCAGCTACTAGCTGACTTGTCTCGCATCAAAACTCGGGTCTGTGTACTTGCAGGCAGTTGACCATGGAGTACGCTGATCACTGTGCCGGATTAACGAGGCTGATTAATGAGTGATTTCGATTGCAAATTGGTGTGTTGGAGACACAGTTGGAGTGTGAGACCGCTGCATTAACAGGTCTAATTAGCACTGATTTCCCATCATTTATGTCGGATATAGCTGATTGTCGGATTAATGAGTGTTGGATTAACAAGACTTGACTGTAATACCCTGGACAATGCAGTGACAGTGCTAGATGTGTCAGGATCCAGGACCTACCTTTGAGATGGGTATGAGAAAGTTGAGTTTGAAGGTGAGGATGACTCGCGTAAGGAGCACAATGAACACCACATAGGCAGCATTCTCAAAGTCAGTCAGCTGAACCTACAACAAGGAACAAGACTCAAACTCAACACAACACAGCATAACAAAGTAATAGCATATCAATATTGCGTTGTTTTTTAAATCATCAAACCGTTTTATTACCTGCCCACAAATTTAACGTTGTTAAGTAAATGTTACCGAAAACACAAGTGTCTGTTTTGCAGTGATTTCCCTACCTCCATGGGCCGGAACTCCACTCTCCAGCCTATGTCTGAGTTGGGTGGGGGGGGTTTGAACCTCATGGTCTGCCAGTTGGTTGACTGGATGTTCTGGAAACACAAAACAAGCATGCACTCTAAACAGTCGGAGACAAGAGAAACTCTGGAATAAAAGGCCCAGCTGTTCTCTCCCAAAATCAACTTATCTAAATATTTGTTAAGTACCAGAATCATCAAACAGTTATGAACTGTTAATTTGTTTGTTTGTTTAACGCTACACTCAGCAATATTCCAGCTACATGATGGCGGTCTGTAAATAATCGAGTCTGGACCAGACAATCCAGAGATTGACACCATGAGCATTGATCCACGCAATTGGGACAAGATGACATGCATCAACCAAGACAGCAAGCCTGACCACGTGATCCTGTTAGTCGCCCCCTACGACAACCATAGTCACCTTTTACGGCAAGCATTGGTTGCTGAAGACCTATTTTACCACGGATCTTCACAGGTAGAACTGTTAATAATCGCATTGGGACCAGACACGCTGTTTTTCTTATTCATTAAAATATGCAAATGCACAAGGTCATTTTGAAAAATTATACCTGGTTAAGGTAAGCGATATGTAGACATTGTCTTGTGATGATGATACAGTTTGCTCAGAGGTATGGAGACTTGTTATGTTTAGAGTTAAGAGAGGAATGAACAGATTGACAGAGAAGTGATAGACATCCGGCCATTGCACAAAGACACATGTATATATGTTAGGGAGAACAAAAGTATCCACCCCCACCCCCACCCACCCACCCAACAAATGAGCAGTCTCTAAAATGAAATATTTCATCTCTCGTTCAAGCATGAGCCTTGAAACAACACAATACCATAATGTACCCCCAATAAATGATCACATACACTTCCTCTTGACCACCAGGGGCGGTCAGGTAGCCTAGTGCCGCGTTAGTTTGTCACGCCGAAGACCATGGTTTGATTTCCGACATGGGCACAATGTGTGAAGCCCATTTCTGGTGTCCCCCGCTGTGATGTTGCTGGAATATTGCTAAAAGCCGTGTAAAACCATACTCACTCACTCTTGACCACCATCTTTGGTGCCTCACCTCAAAATGGTCAGTGTCCTCGTCATCATTCTGGTCAATCTTCTCACTGAACAGGGAGATGGGGTCTCGTATAAACAGGTGGGCAAGGTGGCGGGACAGCAGTTCATCTACACCTACACAAGGAGAGGAAAGTTAATACAGCATACAGAAATAGTGTTGAGATTCTCCAACCAAACCCACTCTTATAATTGCTTCACAAAGATAACTGCTTTGAGAGGCATTTAGAAGTTGGAGTACTAAGTAAGGATAAGATTTATGGATGAACAACTTCTTATTACAATTAGGAGCAACATTTCGGTGTAGGTACCAACACCTACTTGCTTGATAATTGTGTTAGAACCTACACTGAAACGTCGCTCCTAATTGTAATAAAGAAGTTGTTCATCCATAAATCATATCCTTACTAAATAAAGGTACTAGCATCTGTATCAAAATGTCAATCTAATTTTTTAAAAACATCTTAAGGTAAGGATAAGATATATGGAGTGATGTTTCAGTGTAGTTTCTAAGACCGTTATGATAACGTCGCTTCTAATTGCAATGAAGAAGTTGTTCCATATATCATATCCTTACTTAGTACTCCAACTTCTAAAAGCCCCTCAATCAAAGACGTTTTACATCTTAATGGCTGGGATTGATACTGTGAGCAACAAAACCTTGCAACTATCACCTTGCATAGGTTGCTGGTCTCTACTTTAACCAAGAATCATGACGGGGTTGAATGGTTGATTGGTCCTGTCTGTATGTATACAGGGGTTTATCTAGACCTACTCATAGACGATATCCTGCCCCACTTCAAGTTAATATAACCATAGCTACTTTTATGGCTTGTAGAGGCGACATGTATATCACTGATAACAGGACCAGTAAAGAGGAAGTGGCTTTTAATGATTAGTTTTATATTACTGCACTGAATACAATGTAAGTTTGTTTGTTTGTTGTTTAAAGCCGTACTCAGCAATATTCCAGCTATATGACGGCGGTCAGTAAATAATCGAGTCTAGACCAGACAATCCAGTGATTGACAACTTGAGCATCGATCAATGCAATTGGGATACGATGACATGCATCAACCAAGTCAGCGAGCCTGGCCCGAACCCATTAGTCGCCCCTTACCACAAGCATAGTCGTTTTTACGGAAAGCCTGGGCTGCTGAAGACCTATTCTACCCCGCATCTTCAGGGGTCTTTTTTTTTTAACTTTGAACAAAATAATGATTGTTTCCCAATTTGCCTGGCAAGGGCACTTAGTTTAACATCCTGAATAACTCCCCGGTAGAAGTCTGAGCTGATAGACTAGGAGTTCACACTGCAGCTTGTGTACCTACCTTCATCGCGAAGCTGTTTGTACAGATCCTTGTCGTAGACCATTTCAATGTCGTTGTAGCAGCAGCCGCCAGGGGACAGGTAGCTGTCAATCGAGTCATAGCGAGACTTGTTGATACGGAACTTGTTTTCTTTCAACGGCTAAAACAGTAGCAGTAAACCTCCTGACACCGAACTCCACATACTGAGCACATTTTGGGAGCATCATAGGAGATTGTTTGTTCTAGTTGGTTCAACATTGTACAGGACATTCTGCAGAACAGTTTCATAGGTACGAATTGTAATTCTCAATCCACTCACCAAATCCAAAATATTCATATTACCCACATACCGTATATAGCCGTCTATAAAGCGACCCCACCTAAAAGGTGACCGCCTGGAACAAGCCTTCAAAATCGAAGCTAATTTATATACCTCATCTATAAAGCGAATTGGAATAAAGCACATCACCAGTGCATATACAATCCCTACATTTACAATAAAAACGTGTTTGTCTTCCACAGAAAAAAAATTACATTGTATCCTTCAGCGAATTCAGGGAAACAAACAGATCATAACAATTAAACTTGGTCAATACAAATTTGAAATTTGAGATAAAACATAACTAGACATGATGACTTGCAGATTAAACTGTATTTCCTGTTCTGCTAGGCCTTATATGCAGAGATTAAGATTACTGTGTGTACGCCGATCAAGAGGCGTACAGAGATGACCTCGATGGCCCTCCTCACCTTCTTGGAGCATACAAACATTTACACATACAGAATTTTCGCAGGTGTCCGGGCATACTGAAGGTAAACATATGATAACATAATGTCCACTTTTACTATTTTGATGATAGATTTAGAACATTGTAGAACAAAATAAAACTAAACGTGAACAGCCAAATGACAAATTGCACCCCACCTTCTCCGAAAAGCAGCGTTAAAAATTGGCACTAGTCCTATAGTCCTTGTCAAGGTTTTTGCTATGTGTGATCATTATAAGGACTAGTGGACTAAACCGGTTAGTTTCTATAGCTGAAAAGCTATAACTGTTTCACCCAAAACATGACAGTCAGCATTCAAAAGACATCCAAGGTGTTTTTAAACTTAAGGTCATAACAAGAACAAAATCTACATTAAAAGAAGTACAATAATTATTAATTGACAGAAATGTCTTGATGACATTGTGATGTACATGGTATTTGTTAGCCCCATATAGTCAGGCGAGTGCAGGTCTGTCACCTGATCATTACGTTATAAAGAGGCTGTTATCAATAAATCTTCCAGTGTCAACAAATGGCTGCACCAACAATTCAAGGGCATCCTTTGTTGTTGTGTTTCATTGAGCTTCCACTTCTTTCCTTCCTCGGCCAAATTAAGACAGAAATCTATCAAGGTCAAGGTCAATCCACCGAAACCAACAATTTGTGTTAAAATTACTCACAAGCTCTCAATTATTCGTGTCATCATGGTCATATGACCTGGTTTCTACAAATTCTACATGATTCCACTGAAACAAACCATCACAGTTTCTAATTTTGTGCAAAAAAAACCATGTTAACTCATGGCTTTTAGACAATATCCAACTCCCAAATTCGCCACAAGTATGATTTTCTGTTTGCTTCAAGGCCGCAATTTCAAAACTCCGAATTCTAATAAATGGTATCCAAGAATCATTTTAACACTAAAAAAACATGTGATGTTTTCATACAAATCCGATGATGTTTAGAGCAGTTCTTCAGTTATATCCAAGCATGTCCATTTAATTATGAGGAAGACAGCTGGTCATAGAGGCTCACCATGTTACCCAAACCCACAAGTGAGAGTGAGGTGAAATGGGTTAAATGTCGCGTTCAAGATTACTGCACTTATGTAGCCATAAGCATGCACATGGCTGCTTGTAGCAGTCTGGATTTACGCCGGTTTTATAGTGCTAGCCCACTGACATTCCTTGCTGCAGTTTAACATGGATACGCCACTCAGACACAGTACACTGACTCCTTGTTCAATAGTCCTTGCTTTATCCCATTAATGCCGAAATAACAAGTACCATTTTTTAAAGTCTTTTGGTATGACACGGCTTGGGATCGAACCACAAACCCTCCACTCTACAGGCTGACGCACTGTCCACTACACGAAGGCACTAGGCAGTCAGGCGAAATCAAAGATTGGAAACAAAACCAATCATACCAGTACTCGTCAATTCTACATACAAGCAGTACAGTACTTAGTGGTTTGAAAAGATATGTCTGGTACTCATCAGTTCTGACTCAGTGCTCACGATACTTTTGCAACCATAGCACAGTACAGGACACACTTGCACAAAGAGATCTTAGCGCTAAGATGATCGTAACTCCCATACTTTCACATAGGCATACAGTAGTCTTATCGCTAAGATCATTTTGTGCAAGTGTGTCCTGTACTGTGCTATGGTTGCAAAATTATCGTGAGCACTGAGTCAAACTTAACATGATTACTGACAATATTTTAGGCAAACTTTTGTTCTAAAGTTTGAAATGATTCAGTGAAAATCATAATGATTGGTTCTGTCCCCTGAATGAAGGACACTCACTTCAAGGCCACGCTCCTCCTTGGTGCGATCATCCACGCCCTGGGCGATGACGGTCCACCGTGCCTCGATGTCTGCAAGATGGCCACGGTAGATGGGTGAAGCAGCACTCAGTGCCAACTGTAGATGGAAGAGAAGATATTTCATTCCTGGGAAAACAATCTTATTTCATATATCTTAGAGATGTTACCAAGTGTTGATTAATCATCAGCTACCCAATAATGATGTCGACAACTGATATGGAAAAAAGGTGTTACTGAAATAAGACGCGTACAATTTATTTTCTTGACTTATAGATGAGACTATCCAGACTTATGAAAACAAAAACCTAAAAAAAAGCAGGTTTTGTGCTTGCTATTAATGGGGTTCTAAGTATGGCTGTCATGATTAACATCAGATATGGATGCATATTCACTGCACATGTAACACACAGTTGTCTCATTACCAGAAGGATATGGATGTATATTCACTGTCCATGTAACACATAGTTGTCTCATTACCAGAAGGATATGGATGTATATTCACTGCCCATGTAACACATAGTTGTCTCATTACCAGAAGGATATGGATGTATATTCACTGCCCATGTAACACATAGTTGTCTCATTACCAAAAGGATATGGATGTATATTCACTGCCCATGTAACACAGAGTTGTCTCATTACCAGAAGGATATGGATGTATATTCACCATTTGTTGTACAGAGCAGATACTTGGCAGTGATGCTAGTTGTTATGAAGCTAAGTATGTCACAAAAGGGAAATAAGAGACTGAAAATATTATCAGCAAACTTTCACTTGAACATTTTGAATATTTAATCAATTCAGTGAGAGAAAGTAGCTTGTAAGCCTCAGCCATTGTCTAAATGTAAAATATCCTATGGGCTACTAGACTGTTTAAACATTGGGTGTTTTGTTTCTGTGTTATCAAGGTTATGATCACTATTCAGTTCATCAATTTCACGGATTTATTCCCTGCAAACTGCAGCATTATCCAGGACAATCCAGGATGATTCAGGATGATTCAGTATGATCCAGTATGTACCAAGATGATCCAGTATGATTTAATATGATCCAGGATGATTCATTATGATCCAGTATGTATCAAGATGATCCAGTATGATTTAATATGATCCAGGATGATTCATTATGATTCAGTATGTACCAGGATGATCTAGTATGATTCAGTATATTACAGGATGCTTCAGTATGCATCAGTATGTACCAGGACGATTCAGTATGTACCAGTATGATTCACTATGATTCAGTATGATCAAGGATGATTCAGTATGATCCAAATTCAGTGGTCAGAAGCAGGGAAGGCTGCCAATGGCTCATGAAAATAGTATCAATTTCCAGGGTCCAAAGCTTCAAATGGAACGTGCACACCTGCCCAAATAATGTTTGTTTTGCTCCCTAATTTTTAACCCTCATCCTTTCGAATACATCCCAATAGCAGTTGTATGTATACATGTACATGATTCAAATGGTTTGCTTGGATTATCATAAGGAAAGTTGTTTTCCTAAAAAGAGGTCATGTACATGCCAGGTGTTTCAACCTGCAGAGGTATTGATGAATTCCTTGGCTGAGTTCTCCCAAACTCAAATATTTAATGACAGAGTGATCCGATTATTTAAACAAAACTGTTGTCACAAGACAGCAGCAGTGTTTACTGCTTGACCTTCACAAGGTCAACATTTGTATGTAGTACCCCAGGAGTGACCTCTCGGTGAATTACACAACAGACAGGGATAGTCTGAGTCAGGAAACCACTTTGTACACCAGTTGGAAAGGCATCTAAATATAATTACCACAATAGATGGCTGATGTTTGGGAACATTTCAAGGGCGGCTCCAGCATTTATAAAAGGGAGGGGTCCAAAATATCAAAATCCTCTCAGTCAATTTTAGTGCCAACAACGTACTACATTTGTTTTAGATGAGCTGCTCTGAGAATTTAAAAGTCTCGACACTGATTAGCTGTTTTGAATGTTTGTCTGGGCTCTCAGATCTTCATGCAGAGAGGTATCCAATCACATCAAAGATCTAGTGTCATTGAGAAAAGGTATTAGCCTTAAAGTATATGAATTGGGCGTTGTTGAGTCAGCGTGTCTGATGATATCCTGATACAGTAGGTGACTCAGTCAGTGCAGTGAGTTGCAGTGAGTTGCAGTGAGTTTGCATCATTTTTCAAATGATGCTAGTTAAAAGTGATTTTTTTAAAATAAATTTGTGTAGCTTATATTCATTTTATTTCATTTTGCATACAGTTTGTCTTGGAGAGCACAAATAAATGCTTATTCTGTTAAAAATGCAGTACTTCTGTCCGAGAATGCTAAAGGTGTTTTCTTTATAAGGTGTTTGCAGTAGTCAGAGAAAGGTGACAACTAAGGAAAGTTTACAATTGCACTATAGATACAACTGTAGGTAATAAATTTGACAGGTACCCTCCCACAGTGTAGATTTTATAACATTACTTAACATGATGATGAAGTCTAACAGGTCTAGATGATTAGACCCTGATTAACTCCATCTCTCCGAGGTCTTACCTACCAGGTGATACATGATGGATGATTAGCCCCTGATTAACTCCATCTCTCCGAGGTCTTACCTACCAGGGGATACATGATGGACCATTAGTCCCTGATTAACTCCATCTCTCCGAGGTCTTACCTACCAGGTGATACATGATGGACCATTAGTCCCTGATTAACTCCATCTCTCCGAGGTCTTACCTACCAGGTGATACATGATGGATGATTAGCCCCTGATTAACTCCATCTCTCCGAGGTCTTACCTACCCGGTGATACATGATGGACCATTAGTCCCTGATTAACTCCATCTCTCCGAGGTCTTACCTACCAGGTGATACATGATGGACCATTAGTCCCTGATTAACTCCATCTCTCCGAGGTCTTACCTACCAGGTGATACATGATGGACCATTAGTCCCTGATTAACTCCATCTCTCCGAGGTCTTACCTACCAGGTGATACATGATGGATGATTAGCCCCTGATTAACTCCATCTCTCCGAGGTCTTACCTACCCGGTGATACATGATGGACCATTAGTCCCTGATTAACTCCATCTCTCTGAGGACTTACCTACCCTGGGTTAGATGATTGATCCTGCTGGGACATTTTTAAATCAGCCCCATATATATACAACAACTATACCAATAACAACATCAACAATAATAATAATAACGTGCATATTAATAATGGACCAAATCCACACCCAAAAACATGCTCGTTTCCAGCAATATATGAGCTCTCCCAACACATCTTGGACACTGAAGACTATTATGTACACAAATGCTATACAAAACCTGGTCTCATCTCCATCCATGACTTCTGCATACAATGCATACATACTCTAGATAAGCTGCATATTTACGTCAAAGATGCAAATTAAATCACCAGAACACAGTTAATTTCGAATTGCTTGCGCCTATATTTGCTTGAAGAAATTTGATAACCATATAGCATAACAATCCTGTATATAATTATCCAACATAGTTTTTTTTTCAGCTGGCATACATGTATGACACTGCAGTTTTTTTCTTGCTGCCTGAATGCAGACATTATGTGAACATGAACTCTAGTGCAGTGAAAAACGCCCAGATGGGTTTATTGTAACTCAAACATGTGCTACCGAGGCATGCTTCACTGTTATGAGGTAAAGTGAAGACATGTAAATCAATTGGGGCAGTACAGGAACATGTGCAAACTAGAAATCACCTGCAAGCATAGATTTGTTTATTTGTTGTTTTATGCCAAGCTCAGCATTATTCCAGCTATATGGCGGCAGTCTGTAAATAATCCAGTCTGGACCAGACAATCCAATGATTGACATCATGAGCATCGGCCCACACAAGTAGATACGATGACACGAATCAACCAAGTCAGTGAGCCTGACCACCTGATCCTGTTAGTCACCTCTTACGACAAGCATCGTCGCCTTTTACAGCAAGCATGGGTTGCTAAGACTTATTCTACCCTGGATCTGCACGGGTAAAAAAAAACAGCAAAAAAAAGCCAAGTTGGTTGGTTGGTTTGTTGTCTAACGCTGCACACAGCAATATTCCAGCTATATGACGGTGGTCTGTAAATAATCGAGTCTGGACCAGACAATCTGGTGATTGACATCGTGAGTATCGATCCACGCAATTGGGATACGATGATATGCATCAACCAAGTCAGCGAGCCTGACCACCCGATCCCGTTAGTCGCCTCTTATGACAAGCATAGTCACCTTGGGTTGCTGAAGACCTATTCTACCCAGTGGTGATTGACATCATGAGCATCGATCCACGCAATTGGGATACGATGATATGCATCAACCAAGTCAGCGAGCCTGACCACCCAATCCCGTTAGTCGCCTCTTCCGACAAGCATAGTCGCCTTGGGTTGCTGAAGACCTATTCTACCCAGTGTTAGAAATATAATCCTTGCCAAACTGCCCAATAGTTAAAGTATCCTGAGGACTAATAAATTTACCTTTTTTTCAAGGGTTTTGCTATATGTTAACATTATAAGGACTAGTGGACTAAAACAGTTAGTTTCTATTGCTGGGTACCATGTGACTGGACCCAAGGGAGTGAGACTATAGAGTATATTGAATACCCAAAGAAAACTATCAATACCCAATGTGATAACGTGTGTACATACTCAGTGGCTCAGTCAGTTATCTGGAGCATTGTGTAGTCAGGTCTTTTATACTCAAACAGTTAGACATTAGATGAAACTATTCCCCTAACCATTGACTTAATGAATGTTTATGAATAACTTGTCAATTGTTTGTTGAGATGTTATGTTCTTGTTATGAGGTGAGGTGAGGTGAAATGGGGTTTAACGTCGCGTCCAAGATTATTGCACTATATAGCGACGTGCATGCACGTGTGTGTGTGTGTGTGTGTGTGTGTGTGTGTGTGGCTGCTTGTACTAGCCTGGACTGATGCCGATTTATAGTGCTAGCTCACTGAGCTCTCATGCCGCAGTTTAACATGAATACCCCACTCAGACACAGTATACTGACTCCGAGCCGACCAGTCCTTGTTTAGCCCCTTAATGCCGAGCGCCAGACAGGGTAACAACAAGTACCATCTTTTAACATCTTTTGGTATGACGCGGTCGGGGATCGAACCCCAGACCTTCCGCTCTCCGGGCGGACGCTCTACCACTAGACCACGGAGGCGGTCCTCTTGTTATGAACAGCTTCACACTGAACACTGTGTCTGTCTGTCTGTCTGTCTGTCTGTGTGTCTCTGTGTGTGTGCCCCACTCAGACACAGTATACTGACTTCGAGCCAACCTGTCCTTCCTTGTTTTATCTCATTAATCATGTTAATGCTAAGCTCCAGGCTGGGTAACAACAAGTAGCATCTCTTAACGTCTTTTGGTATGAAATGTCCAGGGAACAACCACTGACCTTAAAACCCCACTCAATTACAGTGTGAGAAGTAGGGAGCCAAGGGCCCAGGTTCCGCTGCAGTAGCTCGTATTAGGGATCTCCACATCTTTACTGTATAACATGCAGGTTTATGATATGTAATGGACACATGACGTTATTTCAATACCAGTGTCAGAAGTAGAGGAGTGCCCTTGAAGTATTCTGCTACATATTTAATACAGGGAACCCCTAAATATAAATTTTTAACTTTGTGGTCACCACATCACCTCAAATTCCTATTTCTTAATACTGCAAATACATTCACAACGTCCCTGTTTCACAGATTAAACTCAAATCATTTGAAAAGGATGTAGGGCGTACAAGGGAAAAAGCTACAAAATCTAAGTCATCTTAAGGGACATTTTCCAGACTAAGCCAATGTGGCCCACCCACATAGGCAGAATATTGCCAGGATGACAACACCAGCCTCCCCAGTCTGTCCTCCTCATCTCAACTTGAAAATGAAGTAAAATTGGGACTCAAGAGGTTGCAAAATATCAATAAAGAATTCGTGTGCTGTATTTACAGAGAGACATCAGGAGAAGCAATGTTTCCTAAGGCGATATCAATATTTGAGTCCACACATTTCATGTTATGAACTAGGATGCCAGATAAATTTGTACAGGCTTACCGGCCAAGGTGACAAACACATTTGTTTATATTTATTGTTTGCTGATGAAATAGAGTCAGCTTGTTTACTCCTATAAATGATACTCCACCGAGATACAGCTCAGATGACAGATGAGACAGAGGACTCAGCATTGGAACATTAAGGATTTTCTCAATGCTCTCAAAGACAATGGACTTGTAGGTAAGCAGTGGATTCAGGTTTCTTACACAGTAATAGATTTTCTGAATGTAAGTGCATTAGAATTTACTGTTATCTTAACAAATAATATTTTAGAAAACAAAAATCTTTTGAGCCTAAGTATAATCTTATCTTTGTGTCTGTCACACTGTGATTAGTAGAGAATAGACACTTCTGTGCTCAATATAAATACTTTAATAAAAAACATTGAACTTCTTACAGAAGAAAACATTAAATTGAAGGGTATTGTTTCTTAGCAAAAACATTGACAATGTTACCAGTTGAATAGCAATACAATAAAGAAATCTGAAACCTAAAGCTAGAAAGTGTTAGTAGCTTGGTAAAAAGCTACAACCCTTGAGTTATATCTAATATACATCCTTGGTCAACTGGGCAATTGTCTGGAGTGGCAGCATAGCTAGCAATATTTCCCACCTACCGCTGCAGTCAACAACATGTCCTTATGGCTCCTAATCTACCTACTTAGGGCCTAGCAGAGCCCTTACCATATTGCTCTACCTACTTAGGGCCTAGCAGAGCCCTTATCATATTGCTCTACCTACTTAGGGCCTAGCAGAGCCCTTACCATATTGCTCTACCTACTTAGGGCCTAGCAGAGCCCTTACCATATTGCTCTACCTACTTATGGCCCAGTGGAGCCATTACTATATTGCTCTACCTACTTAGGGCCTAGCAGAGCCCTTACCATATTGCTCTACCTACTTAGGGCCCAGTGGAGCCCTTACCATATTGCTCTACCTACTTAGGGCCCAGCAGAGCCATTATCATATTGCTCTACCTACTTAGGGCCCAGTGGAGCCCTTACCATATTGCTCTACCTACTTAGGGCCCAGCAGAGCCATTATCATATTGCTCTACCTACTTAGGGCCCAGTGGAGCCCTTACCATATTGCTCTAACTACTTAGGGCCCAGCGGAGCCCTTACCATATTGCTCTACCTACTTAGGGCCCAGTGGAGCCATTACTATATTGCTCTACCTACTTAGGGCCTAGCAGAGCCCTTACCATATTGCTCTACCTACTTAGGGCCCAGTGGAGCCCTTACCATATTGCTCTACCTACTTAGGGCCCAGCAGAGCCATTATCATATTGCTCTACCTACTTAGGGCCCAGTGGAGCCCTTACCATATTGCTCTACCTACTTAGGGCCCAGCAGAGCCATTATCATATTGCTCTACCTACTTAGGGCCCAGTGGAGCCCTTACCATATTGCTCTACCTACTTAGGGCCCAGCGGAGCCATTACCATATTGCTCTACCTACTTAGGGCCCAGCGGAGCCGTTACCATATAGCTCTACCTACTTAGGGTCCCGCGGAGCCATTACCTTATTGCTCTACCTACTTAGGGCCCAGCGGAGCCATTACCTTATTGCCCTACCTACTTAGGGTCCAGCAGAGCCATTACCTTATTGCTCTACCTACTTTGGGCCCAGCGGAGCCATTACCTTATTGTTCTACCTACTTAGGGCCCAGCAGAGCCATTACCTTATTGCTCTACCTACTTTGGGCCCAGCGGAGCCATTACCTTATTGTTCTACCTCTATCCTGGAAATTTTTACCTATGAGTGAAATTCTCCCTGGTCTGAAAGCAATGAGATTTTGCTAATTATCAGAGACATTTCATTTTCAAACAGTGGAAAATGTATTTGACTTTCAGTATTATGTTGCAAATTAATGTTTCTAGGTTATATAGATATCCTTGCATTTCCTATTTTCAAACATGAATTATTCCACTGCGAATATTTAAAAACATGTGAATATTACAGGATTATGCTCAACTGAAATAAAATACCAATTACTGTAAAATTTATGTATTTCTGTTCATTGTCGACTTTTGGAGGAATTATTCATGAGTACAATTATAGAATTGGCCACTAGAGTTAGTTCAAAATTTCGTAATTCTCCCATGGTGACCATAACTTTTGCATGAAAACTCTTTCATCAGTGCCGTCTTATCTAAAGGTTAAGCAAATATCATCAAAAGTATGATTGTTTGTGATCTGAAATTTATATAATATTATGGAGAAGGTTTGTAGGTATATCTATTTAGTTTTTGTTTTGCTGTCATCCAAATCCAAATTTGCCTTTGCTTTGAGCTTTACCAGTGATTGTTTTTTTCTTTCTTGATTTCTGCTAGGATGAGAGCGACAAAATAATATGTTTAATAACTTTGGCGTTGTAGATCACTGTTTCAAATGGAATAAGTTTTTCATGTGCTTCCAAAGTGTTTATGTTGCAAAAACAAACCCTCGCTTTGCCAATCAGGGGTCAACAACGCTGCGCACTCCACCTTTGTCAGCTGATGCAAAGCACCATTCAGCGATATAGGAATCGGTCATGCACAGTAGGAGAAAATGAGAGTGCCTATTGATGCAGTTGAAACTATTGAAAGTGTAACAGTTAGATGTACCCGATTTTCAATTGTGCTGAATGAATGTTGATGTGATATCTAAGACAAATATGCGAGAAATTGCGGAATCGCAGCCTAAGTCAATCCCTGTCTACCTGCTTAGGGCTGAGATGTGCCATTACCTTATTGCGTTACCTTACAATACAATCATGTGATACCTAAAATACTATCTAACAGATGCTTTATTCATTATTGAACACATACCTCATGGCTCAGAGCACCAATGTGTGTATGTGTCACAGTAGATCCATCATACAAATTGAACAGGGTTCAAGCAAACAATGAGTGTATTGTCATAAAGAATCCATATTATGATTCAAACATAATTAAATGTGTTTGTTTCTGATATTAAACTGCACCAACCAGCTATGGCACATTGCAATTGTATATATATCTAAATACTGGACATTTACCAGTATACACTTTTTAACTTTGAAACCATTGTAAGCATGGTAAGGCACATGTATTGAAAAATTAAAAAAAAAATTAAAACATAAATCCTAAATCATTAAAAGGCACCAGATCATCACCAGACTGATCTGTATAGCAAGTTTTCAACAAGAAATATTCTTGTGTTCTGCTCAGGAAACATAAAATGGATGGATGACAGATGGAAAGTTTATGTTATTTTTTTAACAAAAGCTCTTCGGTGATGTAGGATGTATATCTGGTGGCATCTTTCTTCTACAGATTCACACCCAAACAAGTGAGTGAGGAGCTATCTAGCAACCATGAGTATGTCTATCACCTGTCTCCGCTTTGCCATCCTGACATGTCTCAGCGTCACACTCAGTGGCAACAGTGTCGACTTAAACACCACCCTCTCCTCCGTGCCGACACTGGCTAGTTCCCAAGATACATCACTATCACCCAGAACTGATGCACAGTCCACCATTCATCCGACCAGACCACTGAATGTGACTGAGGTCACCAGCACATTAGGATACACCCAGCTCATAGGGAACAGAATGACACCAATCACCAAGTCTTCAGTCACTGCTGATGCAACCATATCAGAGGAAACAGACGAAATGTCCTCGGCAACACCAACAGCAGCAACACCAAAATCAACAGCAACAACTTCATTAACATCAACGAAGTTAACATCAACTACAACCACTGAATCACCTTCCACTACATCACCTAGTACAACACATTCTACTACAGCATCTTCACCAACAAGTGCCCCAGGAATCAACATCATTAGAATCAAAGGCAAGAGAAAAAAATTGTCCTTGGAAGATATAGCAAACTCTGCCTCTACAACAACAATTGCTAACAAGCCTGCAAACAAGAAGACAAACAGAAAGAAACGGAAGCCGAGAAAGATGCAGTCTCCCAAACAGAATGAAAACCCAAGATCAAACTCCAAGAAATCCTCCAGGGGCACACAGTCCAAGAAGAAGCCTGCGACTCCAACTACTCCCACTGCTACTTCTCTGCATGGAGCCAGAACAACAGCTGCCCCACTGTCACCAGATGCCACCATCAGGGTCCACACCATAGACACTGGCGTCAAACCTGTAGCATTTGCTGCAGCAGCCGCTGGTAAGCAATGTAGGATTTCTTTACTTGTTGTTTAACAATATTCCAGCTACATGCAAATAATCCCGTCACCTCTTAGGACATGCATGGGTTGCTGTAGACCAATTCTAACCCAGATCTTCATGAAGGATTTTCTGTAACAGGAAGTTCCAAGTGCAATATAGCATGTAATGCAGGATCTTCTGTAGGAAGTCCAACATGGCATGTGAAGTAGGATCTTCTGTAGCAAACACAACATGGCATGTAATGAAGGATCTCTAGTAAGCTCAGTTTGGCATGTAACATAGGACCTTCTGCATTAAACCCAGTTTGTTATGTGCTGTAGGATCTTCATAAGCAAGCAGATACAAGCTCAATGTATAGATAATTAATTGCATGAAACACAAATGTCACAACAATAAATCCCATCTGTATCCATCCATGTCCAACACAGGACGTTTTTAAATAGATGTACCCTGTACATGAATGCAAATCAAATGGCTTTCTTCTCATCACACCAGTCAGATGTTAAAGCTTTGTAAAACTACTTATATTCCAGATAAAAAGAAAAACGCAGGAAAAGGAAAGAAAGGGTCGAGGAAAGCAAACAAAGCACAGGGGAAGAAGGGGGACAAGGGTCCTGCGGGTCCTCCAGGTCCCAAGGGCGCCAAGGGTGAGCCGGGGGCTGCCCAGGCATCAATGGCCATGCAGGCTGCCTCATCCTCTGTCCTCACAGAACACTTCGGGCCGGACACGGACGTCATTGTGCCCTTTGATCTCAAACTGATTGACCTTGCAGACAACTATGACAACACGACCGGTGTATTTATTTGTACAATTCCTGGTGTATACGTAATATCTCTGTATCTCATGTCTCACCCTGGCGCCAAGGTAAATGCTCGTATCTTCATCAACAGTCGACCAATCGCAGCCCTCTGGGCAGATGACAGTAAGAACTCTGGGTTTTACCCATCCAGTAGCATACAGACAATCAGTCGGCTAGAGTTTGGTGACCAGGTGTACGTCATGCTGGTTGATGGAGGGTATGGAGAGAGCTGGGTCCACGCGAACTATAACGCCTTTACTCTCTTCCTCCTGTACGAAGAGATCTTCTTCAAATAAACTGGGCACTATTCCACAAAGCAATCATAGAGTTATGATGATCGTTACTTGGATACGTTTACATTCACTTATGATAGTTGTAGCACTAAGATCGCTTTGTGGAACAGAGCACTACCCTCTCTATCAACAAAGATGACCGACAGACAGATCTCCATGCTTCACCTGTCTGGTAAAAAAATTGACAATGTTCCTTGTTTCCTTGTTGAAATTCCTTGTTTAGCAAACATTTTTTGTTGCCATGGTTACCATGTGCGGTACTGATTCTGATGAATCAAAATATGTATTGTCTATGTTTGTAAGTCGTCATGTTTCATACCAATTTTTATATAAATTAAATATGCAAAAACCAAATGTTGATATTCATGCTTTAAACAATCAGTCTCCATTTTCACTTGTTCAATCATGTTCAATAGTCAGCTAAGAAAGATTAAACACAGACAAAAGATATCCATGTTAATGAGAAAAAGGTTCTGGTTGAACACCTCCCATAAACTTGATTGCATAATTTTCCACTTTGTACTTTTGAAGTATAGCTGACACCACTGATATCAATTATTATCATATGGCGAAGCAATTACAGACACTGACATGTGTCAAAGTTATCACAAGACTGTTCTCCTACTTGGTAAATAATTACAGAAATAAGAGTCATACGATATTTGTCCAATCAGATAATAGCAGATCCCCGTCATCATCATGATATCAATCCATATTGCAAGTACCAAGCATGTTATGATGCTCAAGGAGGGGACATGAGTAATATCAATATGTTTGTTTGTTTGTTTGTTGTTAAATGCCGCACTCAGCAATATTCCAGCTATATGACGGCGGTCAGTAAGTTATCGAATCTGGACTAGACAATCCAGTGATTGACATCATGAGCATCCATCCACGCAATTGGGATACGATGACATGCATCAATCAAGTCAGCGAGTCTGATCCCCCGATCCCGTTATTCGCCTCTTACAACAAGCATAGTTGCCTTTTACGGCAAGCATGGAATGCTAAAGACCTATTCTACCCCGGATCTTCACAGGTCAATATCAATATGTAATTTATCACATAACAAGTATTAAATATCGCTTGAAAAAGTGTAAACATTGTGAGCATGTCCAATCCAACAGACGGCAGTGTATTGTTTACTTCCTTGTTCTGATTTCGTTCACAATTTAGGATATACTCTCTGATTAGTTCATCACAGTACCATATAGCCATTTGCGCAGCATATTGTAAGAATTCATGGCAGGTCACACTGGCTGCTCAAGTCTTGTGGTTTTTGTTTGATTACTGCCTAGACATGGATGAAGCAGTGTTTTTTATGGAAAAGCAAGGGAGATAATTTATTTATCAACATCAAAACGAAAATACGGGAATGAAAAGACAGATTTTGTGATAAAAAAAACCAATTTGGGGTAAAAAAGACAAAGCAGAATTTGTCTGCGAACATGTGACAGAATATAAACAATATCCCCCCAACCCCCGTCACATAATCAAAGGGATAAATGGAGGAGACTCAATGTCAAATTATTGAGCAAAACTGAATAAACGCAGCATCCTTTCTTTCCAATTTAGATGCCCTGATCACACTTTGAGCTCAAGAACATATAAGAAGTTTCCTCTCAACACATACCGACACCAAAGACAAATTTACAGACACAATCACTTTCCATGAAGAATGTAAAGGTTTCCAACCCATAGATTTTAGCTGGAGGACAAATGTCCCTCTGCATGACATGCCAACTAAGCTATGTTAGATGTTTACTTCATCAATGTTATATGTTCTGACAGGACACCACAAAGTACCTGCACAACATGGGAAAACATAGGGCCATCATTAAACCCTTTGGGCAACACAACCCAGTCATACAAAGTTGGGTTCGTAGATAGAAATGTTTTTGTCATCCAGACAATTACTTGATTTACAGACACTTTTGAGAGGCGTATCTGAAGGGATTAACTGGAAATGGCCAGAGACCAATATTTGGCCCAAGTCTGCGGCAAATGTCAGTAAAAATTCCCAAATTATAATTACAAATATCCCAATTCATGTTAATATACTGATATAGTTATAAGTAAAGTCATGGCTTTGTAGAGGTAACTTGAAGTACACTGATAACAGGACCAATAAAGAGGAAGAGGCTTTTATGCTTAGTTTTACCTTATTGCACTGAATACAATTGTTAAATACCGCAGAATTATTGTAATTCCTTTTTATAGTCCAATTCGATTAATACGTTCACTCACTCAATGATATATATTTTAAACGTTTTCACTCAGTACAGTGTATGCGTATAGAGTTCACCAATTAGTTTTGTCGGTATATTTTGTCGGTATATTCCCCAATTACTTGTTTTATGTGACATGTGCCCCTTAATCCCCTATTGGCTTACCCATCACCTTGCTTGGGTGAACTTGTACCTATAACAATAGGTGCAAACCCCTTCCTGGAAAATATGTTTCGTTTGGGGGACAATTTCGCGGGTCGTTTTTTATCGTTCTTTTTACACTATTTTCGATTCTCAAATTTAACTTTGGTCAAACATTTGTGATAAAATATGCCATAAAGTATTCAAGCAGCAGAGTACCTATTCGGCATTACTTGCCCTTTAAGGGGATATTGAACACATGACCTAGCTGACCAGTGCTCGTGTCGAACACTGTAAGAGTGTCAAAAGTCCTTACCAGCATGGGACACAGTGTAGTGAGCTGATCATACAGAAGGCGAGCCTCGTCAATGTTGCAAGCCTGGAAGGTCACTTGGAGACATGAGTTGCCCATGCCAAAGCCCATGCAGTCCATGTATATACTGTCTGGTTTGGCCGCTCTCTGAGCCTCGCCATCGTCTCCCAGGGAGGAAAAGTCTTCTATAAATGGATCTTCTGTGTTGATGTCTTTATACACTGAAGGTCAGTCAAATAATGTATTAAAGAAAGGTGCTGAATATGCAGATATGTGTAACGGTAATCTTGAATCAGTGAGGAGTCTACAAAGCTATGGCAGATGTCTTTATACACTGAAGGACAGTCAAAAAATGAATTCTGGAAACATTCTGAATATGCAACAATAATTCTGAATCAGTGACAAGTCTACAAGACATTGGGGATGTCTTTTACACTGTAGGATAGTCAAATGAAGAATTCTGGAAACATGTTAGATATATGTAATGATAATCTTGAATCACTGACAAGTCTACAATACGATTGGGGAAATGTTGAGTAGATACAATGGAGTGAATATGATGTTTGCATAATTATTACACAACATTAGGACATGACAAAAGTCATATTTGCACTTGTCAAAAACTTCATAGGTTATAAAAAGAATGATGGGTAGAGTATCAATAACAAGGAAGGAATCAACGTTATCGACAAGTAGAGAACAAGCCCTTGCTCACCTGGTACATTAATGATCACTTTTTCCCCGCGACGTTCCCGAATATTCCTTGTTAAAGTTCTGAAAGAACATAAAGGTTCATCTCAGTTCGAGTTTGGGTCACATTGGATAAGTACAATGCAGTCAATCCTTAAGTTGTTTCAACTGACAGACACATAGAGCCGCAAGGTACTGTAGCTCACCTGAAATATCTCTTGAACATTATATTAGGACAGTGAGTGAGTGAGCTTTCAACAGTATTCCAGTTACATCATGGCGTGTCAGCTTAATGTGGGAGGAAAGCCTGAAAGCGATGCAGGTCTCAGATGTTTACCACTTCGGTGAAACCCACGATCAAGAGTATGTTGCTGAGAAACTGAGACACATAATCGGGGCAAACCGGGATTTGAACCCACAATCATAGGTTTCGGGCATGTCCAAGGGACGCAACTCTGCACAGCGAATCGCAGCGGCTTAGACAACTGGGCCACCCTTACCCCCTATATTAGGACAGAAATCTCCTACGAGGGTAAAGAACAAGTAAAAGAAATATATATATGATAGCTAATAGGGAGAGTTGCTGGTTTGCTCATAACATCAATTTTTTGTTTGTTTGTTGTTTTACGCTGAGATCAGCAAAATTCCAGCTATATAATGGCGGTCAGAAAAAAATCCAGTTTGGACCAGACAACCCAGTGCTTGAGCATCGTTTTATGCAATTGGTATACGATGACATGCATTAACCATGTCAGCGAGCCTGACCACCCGATCCCGTTACTCTTACAACGAGCACGGGTTGCTGAAGATCAAATTTACTACCCGGGTACCCACACCCCTATGACCCGACCCTACCCAGGTACCCGCTGTTGGTGTCAAGAAATAGGTACAAAATGTCCAATTTGGAATAGTTTGACAGTAGCCTTGGCAAAATGTATTCAGAGACACGTATACAACGATGTGGTCATGCATACACTGAAGTTGACTGAAGTTCTAGCTTTGTTCACAAATAAGTCAGAAGGAACATATTCATAGTCACGAAGAAATGCGAACATTAGAGACTAAAAATTGTTGTGTAACCATGTAGTTATATAGTGAATTTTTGTCATGAAACAATATAGCACATGACTAACCACGGGTCTGGGTAGTCCTGTTGGTACCCAGGTCCTACTCAGTACCCACCCGACCCGAGTACCCGAGTTACTCGTCCCAGCCCTCCATTGTACCTATATATGGTCAATCCTGCCATACAGTAATGTCAAAGTATCTTTGTTAGGAACCAAACTGTACATAACTCATTTGATGATAAAGCATTACCATGTTATGTTCATTTGCAAAAATATTTAACTCCTGTTATTACTTTTTTTTTTGTTAAACGCCACACTCAGCAATATTTCAGCTAAATCACCGTGGTCTGTAAATAATTGAGTCTGGATGAGACAATCCAGTGATTGATATCATGAGCATCAATCCACGTAATTGGTATAGGATTCCTCTTATTATTACCAGTAACCTACTCACTACAGTTAACTTGTTAAATTCCAAATATACCGTATTCGACGTAAAAAGCACCCAGGGTGCTCTCAAAAATATGGGGGCTCTTATTAGAATATTATTTTGGTGAAAATAAAACAGAGTTGAAAGATAATAAATTTTGTGGTTTACGCTGACAGCCTGAAATGTTTATATACGACAGATATATTTTTCCAGAATTTAATTGCCCATAATTAAGGGTGCACATTGATCAATCGGAAGGGGTGATAATTGGGATTGTTCACTAGCCAATATATTATCAAATATTGCTGTGGGTGCTTATTAGAGCGGGGCGCTTATTACGTCAAATAGGGTACATATATAATAAGGTCGGTTGTTGTGTTCCTCAAGGTTGTATTCACTATTGGATGGTATCGTGTTCAATTTTAGGAAAATTAACATAAAGATTAATAACCTCATAAACACAAATATATAATCAATATTCCAAAACATGTATAAACTCATGTAAAATCAGGTGAGCATGACAGTACCTGAAGCGTGGATGGCCACTGTTGATAGCTTCATCTGGGAAGAAGAGAGATCGCGATGATCCAGACGTCGGGGTTGGTTCGAATGATGGGAGTGTGAAGTTGGGACACCCTAGTCTGAAAACAGACATTGTGCATGAACAATGTTATCCATACACTTGTCCCCATCTGCAAAGAAGATACTTTGATAAATAATATGTTTTTATTAAACTACCTCAACTCACTCTCCAACTGATTGCTCTAATTATTTAAGCTAAGCAATCAGTATGAGTCAGGATAAGGTAATTATGTTGACAAATTTATTTCTAAGAATTGAATCCAATGTGTCTTTGCATTTTTGGAGTCAAAAACGTCAAAACCAGTGTGCACATTTTGAGTAACACAGTCTGCACACCATTTTTTTAATGTTTATACCTCCTTAAATGCAAAAAAAATATGGACGTCAATTCTTCAGTAAACCCACCTGGGAAAGACTGTGATGGACATTGCTTCCTCGTTTGGTTCAAGCAGTGACTGAATCTCCTCCCGCCTAGAAAACATAGAATGCATAAACATAGTATAACCTATTATAGTATAAACTAAGGGTGAAACTATACACCGATATTCCGATGCATCGCGATACTTGACCCACGATACGATATACGATAAACGTGGGCCCATTTATCGATACACCACGATACGGAACGCAAATCTTCAATTTATCAACTTTGCAAATCGTACGTAATAGCTATTGGCGATTTCATCTGGGGATTATATATTATAGCTGTGAATTACAAATATACATGTAAAGATTGTGGAGTTTATGAAGAACAATAAACTTTGAACATTCAATTGAAAACTTATTATCGGAAGGAGTAACATGCATAACATTTTTTTAATAATGACAACATTGGTGTATAATAATACATTTATTGATAATTTATAACAATAATGGCTCTAGTCGTGGCAACTTCCAAACTTTCGGGAAGTTGTAATCTATCGGACCGTCATTCAGGCGATGTTTCTGACAGATCACGATCTGAAAAATACTATCATGAAAGTGTATCCCGTGGATAAGCCGACCCCTTTCTACAGAATCTTTTTTCTGGTCCTCAGAATTCGGCTTATACGCGGTCATATACGGTACAGCATTTCCTCGCTATTGTGCCTTTCAATAAACCGCTAACTTGGTTGAAGCGCGCGTAACACATGGCTCCCAAAAACATACTTACATTTTTAATAATCTCAGGTTTTACACTGATAGATGTTTTTCCCCATCTCAATAAACATTATCAGCTGATCACCGCAAGCACATAACAACAGAAATACCAGTCAGCAAAACATAATTTAATAACATCATTATACTATCTTGTTATTAAAATGTTTTCATTGTATATCTGGACATGTGTTTGTAATATATTTTATTAATTCTATTCAAAATTTCATTTAATATTGTTATCATTGAGTTAAGTGAAATTGTGTGAGAAGAGATACAGCAACCACGGACAGATTACCGCTTTTGACGCATTGAAACGAACTTTAGTTGCTAAAGAATGGATACATATATTAAAAATGCCATACTTTAACACTTTAAAGTCATATTTGTGGCAATTTGGCTAATATATGTCATCATAACATTTTCGCAATCGAAATATCTGTCTTGCGGGAAGTCCCTACGGCAACAGCAATCACCAGTACCAAAATGCAATGCTTGTGGTTTTTATAATTTTAAATACATATGTAGTAAAAGCTGCAACTAAAGTAACACTATATTGAAATATATTATTCCTGATAAAACAATAATTTCAGATACAATTTCTTCGACTTTTGCATAATAATTCTTTGAAGTTGTATCACTGGTGAAGTACGTGAATTATTTTCTGGTGTTTGAACTTTGAAAAGTTAGAGAAAGTTCCACTTTGAAGCGTAACAACTTCAGTAGTCTTGTTATTATAAAATAATTTTGACTGTTCCAAAATCATGAAAGGTTCAATGCTTTAAGTCTTGTTTTTGTATCATTGCATATCGAGATACGTATCGTGTCGTGACCAGAATATCGAGATGCGTATCGTATCGTGACCTTCCTGTATCGTTGCAGCCCTAGTATAAACCGGTATAAACTACTGATTTCATGTTATCAGATAAACAAAGCAGAGCTTCAGATAACTTTTTGAGCAATAGAGTTTTTACTTGAAGGTTTCTATTTTAATTGGGTTATGATATTTTTCATTAGGTAACCTATATTTTGTCACTTATCTATCCATCACTCTACTGGTTTTTTTCCCAAAACGAGTCACCATTTTGAGATTTAAAATTTTAGTAAAATCTGAATATTTTTTACATTTGTATACTTGTCCTGCATTTCTACTTAATGCATTCACTGCTTACCTGGGTGAAAAAAAATACACTGTTCCTGAAGCCCTCTCATATACCACGCCTTCGCCGTCCCTGTGACCTCACGTGATCTAGGTCACCACTACACATCACTGCCTGTCACACGAGCTTAAAAAACATACTCTTGAGATTTCTGAAGCCAAAGTGGGGAGGCAAGTCTGCGACGGGTGGGTCCTTAAATGTAGTAATGCAGGATAAGTATACAAATGTAAAAAATATTCAGATTTAATAATTTTTTTCCTTATGCTGCATAACTCCTTAATGCATCTGTATTGGACAGTTTGGAGGTGGGTAAACCTTAAGAATACAGAAACCTCAATAATTCACACCCTGAAGGTACGACACTGATTGGTCGGTAAACCGTGAAGCGGAAAAGTACAGAAAAACATTGTTACGGTAGGGTTCTATCAATGTGAAAAAACCCATTGAACATATGAATTAAAGAGTGGTTCCCTATACATCTTTAGTAATAACGACATCTTCAGTCTGTGGACAATTGCTTGTCTAATATTCTTCCACTGGCGAAATCTGATTGACTGCACCGGAGTTAGTGAGTGAGTATGGTTTTACGCCGCTTTTAGCAATATTCCAGCAATATCACAGCGGGGGACACCACAAATGGGCTTCACACATTGTACCCATGTCGGGAATCGAACCCGGGTCTTTGGCGTGACGAGCGAACGCTTTAACCACCAGGCTACCCGACCGCCCCTCGACTGCACCGGAAAGGGAAAGGCTCTGTATAGTGCGAGTTCATTATTTGGGTGGAGGGTTGGTAACTTGCTGAGCTACAACCAACTCCGTACACCTTCGACGTCCTCGAGAGTCACATCGCGAAGATAATGAGTGGCAAAAACTGTGTCGGACCTCCAAAAACATCCTCTCATGATTGTTTTAATAGTACAATTGCTGTGTAAGGCCATGGTAGAGGCTAGTGCCCCTGATCTCATGAGGATTATTCGCTCTTGGCAGGTCCAAATTGGCGATCAAATAGGCCTGAAGGATTACTGCATGTAACCATAGAGATATGGTGTTGCGACTGACCTCGGTCGTGGACGTAATAGATATGGGTATAAATAACCACTTTTTAGTCCAACTTTCTCACGGTGGATGAAAATTTGCAGTACTCGTACCGAATATAATAGAAGTTCACTCTTATCCTCACTACCCATAATCGCCAATATTGGTCGAATGGTGAAGGAACAATCGGGTTGGCCTGGTAATTGATTCTTAGCAATAAAACCCCAGGACAACCCGAGATGCACCGCCCTGTGTGTCCTATGCTCAAAAAGAAACTCGGGTGATGTCGATCACATGTAGTTCGCTCACCCGTGCCGTCGTGGCTAATGCCAAGAGAAATACTGTTTTACTTGGTGAGGTCATAAAAAGAGGATGCATAGAGGGGCTTGAAGGGGGGCCCTCGCAAACCACGTTCAAATCCCACGCAGGCGGCCGGAACTTGGTCTTCTGATCCTCAAGCCAAAATGAGCGTAATAAGGCCTGTAGTTCCAGGACCTTAGTCATCTTACGACTATCAAGAACGGCCAACACTGAGTTAAGTGCAACCAAATACATAGGGTGGACGCTTCAGGTAACGTTTGTTGAAAACAGAGAGATTGTGTAATATTCTCATCTTGTCTGAGCCCTTCTTGGGTACCAGGAAGATGTGAGAATAAAACCCCAATGTTAACGCTTGGGGGTGTGTATAATCTCTACGACTTTCTTTTCCAACAGTAAGTGTATGTTGGCCTTTAAGAACAGATGTTGCTTTCTTGGATAATTCCAAGGGAGAGGAGCCGTGGTCAACGGTGGAAATACCTCACATCGTAGTTGGTAACTGTGACGTAGAATGTTGAGAACATAATCGTCCTTGAGAATGCTCCAGTTCTTCCAAAATCGACTCTCCCACCTACCGGGGTATCGACAATTGGGGCGATTGGGGGTGGGAGATCCCAGTGGTGACTGTCCAACATTTCAATGTTTGCCCCTCCTATCACCTCCCTTACTGTGGTATTTACCATGTTGGGATTGATAAGAACCTTGAGGTTTCCCTCTGCCATGCCCTCTACCACGAAAGAAATCTTGCGCCTGTCCTTCCTTGAGAGACTTGCGTCTTGGCCTGTAATTGCCTGACCTGCCTGATCGCTGGGATAAACTCTGAGAAAAGTGCTCCAAAGCCTTGAAAATCAACTATAGTTTGGAGGTGATCTAGTCGGTTAGGGTTATCCTCTGACAGATCCTGCTCTAGTGCACGTGTTGATGATGCTAGTGCTGATAAAGGTTTTAATACCCTTCAAATTTCCGTTTCAATAAAAGCAACTCTGGTATCCTGAACCTTAAGAGTAGTTGGCCTTGACGAGCCTGCCATTCTCTGTATATCCTCGTCCAAACTATGTGCCTCAAAGCCATGAATAGGAAATTCATCTTTCTTAAACCTGGGAGGCTTGAATGACGGCGTAAGTGTCAGCCTGGAAAAACCCTCATCCAAAGATCTAATCATAGGGTCCATCAGAATCGACGTAGGATGTGTCCAAATAGTATCTTTTTTATTCACCCCGCTACCCGGGGAAGGTACTGAAATGAGGTGGTCAGCTACCCAATCAGATACTTGTGCCAGGCCAAGGTGACTATTCCATTCAGTCGAGGAATCTCCCTCCTCACCATTAGAATAATCCGACGAAATCAGAACGATGTAGATGACAAAATGACAGGGAACAGATAGCACATGACGGGAAAAAAGACAAAGTCTTTTTACGTCTAAATAAATCACATACAACTTCTCAACATGTTGAAAGTAATATGAAAAGAATAGTAGACGAAACTGAAGGTCTAAATAAATCCAAAACGAGAGCTCCGCTGGTACACGTCATAGCTGTAGTGAGACAGGCAGTGATGTTAAGTGGCGACCTAGGTCACGTAAGGTCACAGGGACGGCGACAGCGTGGTATAAAAGAGGGATTCAGGAACAGTTTATTTATCTTCACTCAGGACCATTGCCGGTACACTGTCCCAGTTTTTTTGTCACAAGGTAAGGCGAGACCAATTTAATTGCTAGGATTACGGATCCGCCGACACCATTTTTCGCCAAATCGGAAAAAAAACAAAAACGAAATTCTATCATTTTTTTTTAAAAAATATTCTACCCGACATCCGACATCCATTGATAAGCCTTGTTGTGAGAGAATACATGTTAGGTGAAATAACTCTAGTTTTTAACTAAAATTCCTTACGCAAATGTGTCGGCAAATTCCATTGGTCGTTCCACGCAAACATAGCCAATCGAATGCGTACTCTCAATTACAAGTGTTTCCCACATGCGCACAGCGTGTATTGAATATGCCGGGACCATGTGTAGGACATGGGGTGTCAGTTTGGGTATTTTAATGCTTTTTATTATCTGGTGTCTTTTGACAATGTCAGCAAAGTATTTCAGCGTAAGCTTTCTGAAGGGTAGTGTGTGCTTATCAAAGCGAATCATGGAAAGTCCACTGGATGACACAGTTGGTGATTTGGCGACTAAAGCCGTATCGTCAATCGCCGATGGAGATGGACTTTCTATTCAAGAGGTGCATGCAACAGAATCTAAGGCTGGTTCCTTATGGGAATATTGTCGAACTTACAACACCTATGAAAGTTTTAGCAGACTTTGGACTAAATTATGTGACAGTGGTGGCAAAATCGAAAATAAACAGGGCTATTTAATTTAAGTGCATTCCACATGTTAGCATAACACTTCAGCCATGAGTGTTACCTGATCATTTAACAGGATAAAGTTATACTGGACAGAGTATTTCAAGTACTTGTACGTGCCAAATGTATATTTGTTTTGAAGCCAAGTGCTGTTTTAATTTCAGTGTTTTTCACATTGTTTTTATATTTTTAGAATACAATAAAACTTTAATAAGTTAAAAGCTTGTTGTTGAAGTCTACCTGCTTGTGGATAACTGCCAAAAGATACCTGTAAACACTGGTCATCAGTAAGGAGTGTCATTAGATAAAGGGACTATAGTGCATTGCTTCCAACATGCGTGGTGGGTAATACTGAAATAATTTTGTAGCTTCTGTGGCACAAGTGAGGGATTTTAAAAAAAAAAAAATTATTTCCTCCTATCAGCATTCCTGCCTCCTAAAATCTGTAATACCTGCGGAAAAAAATTCTCTCAAGTACTTTTTTTTTTTACATTCCCTCCTCCATTCAGCCACTTTACCCGAAAAAATCTGTTATCCTAGCAATTAAATTGGTCTGGCCTAAGCAGTGAATGCATTAAGGAGTATTGCAGGATAAGTCAAAAATAAATGAAATAATGTCTAAGATGTATATAAAGGTTCAAAATATAGGCTTGACTTGGAAAGAAAATTAGCTCTAATTGTGTTTTGAAAATTAGCTCCATTGTACGCATGCTGAAAAAGCGTCATTGGGTATTTACGTGTGCTGTTTTTATACATTTGAGTTTTTCATTTAATGCATGTGTTTCTGTACACAAGTTAATTGAAAGTAATTGGGTTTTCAATATATATTTTTGGGGGGTGGGTGGGTGGGTGTTATTTTACACAAATACGCAGCTTATCTGTAGCACTGCACAGTATTTCAAATTGTCTTCCATACCTTAGCTTCATATTCCTCTCCACCAGGTTGAAGTGAGCCATGAGGCAGCCATATGGTTTCCCTGGAGTGCCCTCCACCATATAGTCGGCATACTCAGGGTGCCATGTAGCGGGGTAATCTCTGAGGAAACAACTCATTGTCAAGAACATTCCAAGTAGACACTATTCAAACATCATTCAATATCTGTACTATTGCTATAAGGCAGTGATAAATCAGCAGAGAACAAAGTTTTTAAATGGGCAAATCAATATTTCATATTTTTAAATGCAAGTGACCTCAAACATGTCAAATGACAAAATAATCCTATACCAAACAAATGTCTCCGGTACATAATCATGATGTGTGTGTGTGTGTGGTGGTCTAATGCTAGCCCAGTCAGTACTATGCCGCAGTAAGAGGCTACTAACGGGATCGGGTGGCTAACCTCTCTGACTTGGCTGATGCATGTCATCGTATCCTGATTGTGTGGATCAATGCTCCTGATGGCAATCACTGGAGAGTCTGGTCCAGACACGATTATTTATAGACTGCCATCATATAGCTGAGTGCGGCATTAAACAACTAACAAACAAACAAAACTATGCCACAGTTCAACAAGGATACCCAAATCAGACACATTTTCCTGACTATGAGCTGTCCTTGATAGTGCCAGGATGGGTAACAAATGAGCTATACCATCTTTTAATGATGACCGAAGTCATGAATCAAGCATGTTAACAACAGTGTTGATTCTGAAAGCACAGCATTGCCGCACCATCTATCATAAACATAACAGTAACAAGCAAATGAATCTCATCTCGTAAACATGGTAAACAATAGCAATCCAGGTGACTATGGGGGGTATTTTCACTATTGTGACTGTACTGCAATAGTAGCCCAAACATTGCAATAGCATTTCGATAGAAGTAAACCAACTTTAAGGCTTGATAAGTAATCAATGTTATAGAAATGAATAAAGTAATGCTGACAATCTCAACATGCTCAAAGATGGCCGTTTTTCATGATGTAAATCACTGGATTGTCTGGTTCACATAGCTGGAATACTGCAGAGTGCAACGTTAAACAATAAACCAAAAATGCAAAACTTTTTGAATTGGCTAGCCTTTTAAGTAATTTCTATGGGGTTTCTTTCAACCTTGATAAACAAAACAATTGCAGAAGAGGATGGTACATGAAGAGATTCAAGCATATTTCTTTCAAATCATGATTTTGTAGAAAAGCAAGCATCACGAGTGAAAACGTCATGTAAAGTTGTGGCTTCAAAAGGTGCTAAGATTCACCTTAGAGAGACCTTAACGATACAGTCCCCTACTCTTTTATGCTATGTATAATACAAATGTGATATGCGTGCTTAGCAGATATGGAAGAAGGCTGATCATGAATGGATGGACAGATGGACAGCCATTACATGGATCCATGTTGACACCCATCTGGCCAAGAGATGAGGATTGTACTCCACAATCACCTGTTCCTCACCAACTTGTCAGCACCTTGACTTACTTTGTCTGCTTCTGGACCAGAGCTCCAAGGATATCCTGAGCTTTGAGACATAACTGGGTCTTCTTCTTGCTGTGGTCAAACTTCACCAACATATACTCAACCTGACGACAAAGATAAGTGCATGTATTAAGACTTCATTTTAATCACTTGGTTCAGATATTTCTTTATAAAAAACGCAACTTATGATATGTTAAAAACAACAATAAAAAAACTTAAAAAATGTTAAAATAGGGAAAGAAATATAAAATGCTTTTGGGAATGACGATTCAAATGGTAACTACCCTACACCTTTTGACAATGTATACCATGTTTACCTACTTTGAAGTTATTACAGGTACCGTAGCTCAACTGTTACCAGTGAACATGGTGAAATATCACTAAGTGGGGCATCCTCCCGAGGCAACGGACTATAAAAGTAAAAACGGGAGATAACGGACTAGAAAAGTCCAGTTTCCAACCTTGCCGAACTAGGCTGGAATTATGGAGTTATATTTTGGATTGGCTAATGAGGCTAGTCCAATCAAACCGTGCAGCGAAATCGACATCAGGTTCGTAAACTGCAGTGCACATTTCTCTCAACTGCAGGATTTGCAAAGCATGTGTACCGCCAACTCGGCGTCAACAGATACTTTCCAAATCTTTTCATGTTTTTAATCAAGGTGCTCACATGATTTGATGCACTTAGCGAAGTAAGACCCGTATTATCACAACAAAGATTTTGACTATCTATGAGATCGTATTGACTGGGCCCTGCAATCTTGTTGGAAGCAATTGCAAGTGATATGAGAGGTGGAATCTGATTGGTCAGTAGGAAGGACATAAAGGGACATAATTCAAAATAACCACTGGTGGCAGTACAATCGAAATTCCCGCCAAGTTCGGCAAGGGTGGATACTGGACTTTTACAGTCAGTTATCTCCCTTGCCCTGGGAAGACTCTGATCACTGGACTAGGAAAGATGGAAGGTGAATATTGTTTCAAGTTCAAAGAGGATGCTAAGCCTGTCTCTATCTCAACACCCAGACAGAAGTGGGGAGGAAAAGCCAAACAAGTTATTTTGTAAATTGACATAACAGTATTAACACCCAACAGTTGGTTACAATGGATTTGTATTAAACCATTTACATTCTCAGAACATTTGTGGTACCTTACATTTTGTTGCATAAGATGAAAACAGAATAATGACCACTGCTGCTAAGTAAAATTACTCAGTCAAATTTCTCTGATATGTAATGATTCAAGTTAAATTCATGCAAATAGACTTTCAGAACTACATGTATTTCTTTCTCACTGATAGTGATGCTAGATACAGACAGTAAACTAGAAAGTGTTTTTACTCGTAAAAACATACGTCTCCCCCCACTTCCCTAACCCCCATTCATTCGTTTACTTCACGTTAAACCCCATCTCTTCATTCCCACCCTCCATTACTACATAACAGAGACAAAAATAGAACTCCTAGAAATTTCAAACAACTAAAGGGCACCACTTCAGCATCTAATCAACACCACTAATCCCTCAATCATTTACCCACCTGACAGTGTAGTCATCTAAGTAGCACAGTTTTCTTGTTACTGAAGTATTTGTAGAAAATCCACTTAAAGTACTAATAGAGTTTGGACACAAATATATTAATATCCCCAACATATCAGAAATGATGTAGCAATGTTATATGGCACAAAGGAAAGTCTCTGTGATGTAATTGCCCGTGTATCTGACTCTGCAGGTCTTCTACACAATGACATATGTGATGTCATGGAAACTGTAATAGCAAGGCACCACACCAGCTCTCTGATGTGAAAGATCCTTGACATAAATATAGTCAATAACAGTTTCTTTCCTGGTAGTTGACACTTCAATCAGCTGCGTGAAGGGTTCTTGCAGAAGAGGTTGCGCTTTGTTTGTATTGAAGTCAATGTTGAAATATTAAACGGTTTCTGAGTTATGGTCCGGAAACAAAGCTTACCCCCATTCAGAGTCTATGTTCAACTTATCTCCATGGAAACGAGAAAAAATAAAAATGTCAAAAATCTCTAAATAGCAAAAGGTACCACTTCAGTGCTGGGTTAATGTGTATACAAAGTTTCGCGAAAAAATATTAAACGGTTTCTGAGTTATGGTCCGGAAACAAAGCTTACCCCCATTCAGAGTCTATGTTCAAGTTATCTCCATGGAAACGAGAAAAATTAAAAATGTCAAAAATCTCTAAATAGCAAAAGGCACCACTTCAGTGCTGGGTTAATGTGTATACAAAGTTTCGCGAAAAAATATTAAACGGTTTCTGAGTTATGGTCCGGAAACAAAGCTTACCCCCATTCAGAGTCTATGTTCAACTTATCTCCATGGAAACGAGAAAAAATAAAAATGTCAAAAATCTCTAAATAGCAAAAGGCACCACTTCAGTGCTGGGTTAATGTGTATACAAAGTTTCGCGAAAAAATATTAAACGGTTTCTGAGTTATGGTCCGGAAACAAAGCTTACCCCCATTCAGAGTCTATGTTCAACTTATCTCCATTGAAACGAGAAAAAATAAAAATGTCAAAAATCTCTAAATAGCAAAAGGCACCACTTCAGTGCTGGGTTAATATGTATACAAAGTTTCGCGAAAAAATATTAAACGGTTTCTGAGTTATGGTCAGGAAACAAAGCTTACCCCCATTCAAAGCCTATGTTCAACTTGCATAAATCATTAAATGCTCCCAGCACTGAAAACTTCAATCAACTCATGGAAAAGAACAATTTTGTAACTGCTTACTTGTAACGTATCTCACATTTGTTACATTTTCTAAGCAAATTCTAGTAGTTTTTGTTTGGAGTCCCCATCGGCATTAGAACCTACACTATAGGAATAAGGCGCCTAATCGCCAGCACATTCAGTCAGCGACCTAACCCACTCAGCCACTGAGGCTTCCTGAAAATTGAGATCCAATAAGGTGCCTTACTCTCTTAGTGTGCAAGGATAAGCATGTGTAAATCAAATTTGTGGAAAATTGGTTTTCGTCAGTTAGCAGACGACAATTTGAAAAAAGCAGTTTTTAATTAATTGTAATGAATAAAACAATTGAGTGAGATACCAGAGAAAATAGAAAAAGTAATTTTTATAACTAAAGCGTGAACATGAGCGTGATCAGGTGCTGTTAAGATGATGGTGGTAACTGGTAAAGTTGGTGAACTGGAAACTTCTATTTCTACTGTTCTGATTCCCTACTGTCATGTTATAGTGAGTGAGTGATGAGAGGTTTTACGCCGCTTTTAGCAATATTCCAGCAATATCACGGCAGGGGACACCAGAAATAGGCTTCACACATTGTACCCATGTCGGGAATCGAACCCGGGTCCTCGGCGTGACGAGTGAACACTTTAACCACTAGGCTACCCCACTAGGCTACCCGACGTCCCCCTGAGTTATAACAGAAATGTGCTGAAACCTTTTTCATGGACAGAAACATGCAAATTTGATCACAGATTCACCATGTTCGCAGAAATCAAAGTTATTGGTACAGTCAACTTTGTACACAGAATATTTCATAAACAACATGAAAAAATGCCTGATAACTGGTCGGTGACCAGAACACAAATATTTTTAAGTCTTTGAATGGCATTTAAATGTTTTTGTTTCTCATGTACAAGAATGAAGAAGGCATAACAATATTCACATACAATTTTAATATCCACAGCAATATGACGAAAATGGACTACATTTGACAAAAATGGCAGCATGCAATAAACGGCAGCAAAACTGAAGATTTTGTGTAAACCTTGTCACTTTCACTTGTGAAAATTGGATCAATTTCTGTGTGATGCCTATATAATACAATGTTATAAAGACCCACTGCTTTTGAAAATGTGGGCCATTTTTAGATTTAAGGGCCAAAAGCCCAAGGGACCTTCCTAAAATTATCCCTGCATCAACAAATGATCAAAAACAAAATTAATGAATTTGTACATTATATATATTATATCATGTTTTATAGACCACACTAAACCATATTCAGAAGACAGAAGATTTTCTACAAACTTGTTCATTGAGAGCTCACTATTTATATACTGCTCTTTAATCAGAGCTCCAGATAAGCTTTTGGTGTTGTGGGTATTTTTTACCCATGCATTTTTAAATCATTGGGTATCAGTAATTCTATCTGGGTATTCAAATTTCTTTTACCCATTTACCCACTAGTTTTTACACATGTGGGTATTTAAGTTAAATATTCATCTAGTCCCTGCAAACTGGTGTCGTGTGGGTTCGAGAGCTTTATAGGACTCAAAAATACCACGATACTTCCACACGAAAGTGTGATGGCAAATGATCATGATGTATCTGTCATCGTGGAGTTTGGCAAGGTTGACAGAATGCCCATTTATAATTTCAAAATAAGATGCTGATTTGCTTATCGAATACGCAGGGTTACTTCACAATATTTTGATGATACACACAAGTTTTATTTTTGTACCGTATCTGTAATGTTCGTTGCGTATTTGATACGCTTGGATTTTATTTTACTGCGTATTTCTGCATTTCTGATACATATTTTACGCAGATACGCAGCTTATCTGGAGCTCTGTTAATTCATACGCATAACATACATATAAGCTTGTTTGTCTGAAGCGTTTGTTTTACAAGCACCATTGAAAACATTAATGAAAGGACCCATGAAGATCGGCGCTGAATAGGTCTTCAGCAACCCATTTTTGACGTAAAAGGCGACAATGCTTATCATAAGAGGCGACTGACAGGATCGGATGGTCAGCCTCACTGACTTGGATGAGATGTCATCGTATTCCAATTGCGTGGATCAATGCTCTTGATGTCTATCACTGGATTGTCTGGTCCAGACTGGATTATTTACAGACCGCCGTCATAGACATGATAGAGCTGGAGTGTGGCGTTAAACAACAAACAAACAAACAAACATGAGTGAAATCTTGGTCTCACATATGATCGAATTTCTGTGTCTTATATTAAAAACATGAAAAAATGACAAAGTTTCATTTTCAAAAAAAAAGAATTATACATTTGAACATCAGTTAGGGACTGATCATAGTGATCTTGCATAAAATGGGGGTGCCCCTCCACCCTAACCCCTCCCAAAACAAACAAACACAAACACGCGAATTATATTGTCCGATTAAAATCAATCTCACCTCATCTCCCCAGTATAGAACATCCCGTGTCCGTTGCTTTAGTTTCTTGTACTGAGTGATAAACTGCTTGATGCCATGCTTACGAACATGCTCAGCATGTCGCTTCGTCTCTTCCCAGGTCAAAGGCGAACCTTCCGATAACAAACCCATTCCTTGACTTGATGAGCGATCTGCACAGATATTCCGCACAAATGCTAGTGCTGATATAGTTGAGACTGTTACACAAACGCAAGATGACTCTAAATATCTGCTGACATGATAAACTTCACTGACGATGAAATCCGTTCTGTTGTGATGTTTATATATACATACATATATCCTGCACTGAAATTGATGTCATTAAATATATTCCTAACAACTGATTATAGTCAAGCACCGCACCTGACAGTCGTCTGTCTGACTGCAACAGCTAGTGATTAATTTTGGCGTTAAGTTGAATAATTTGTCGAAACTTTCGAATATAGATTCCTTTTTATGACAGTTCCATCAGTATAAATTTATACTGATATTACATATATTTGATTTCAAATTGATTTTATTGTATTGATTTTAATACATATCAACATTTCAAACATCAATTGACATGTATAGCTGATTATTAAAAACAGCATGATTTACACATTCGTTGAATCACACAGAATTATCTACCCCAACAACTAAGTGCGGGTAGGGGTGGGGATGGTACCGATTGGACTTTCGTATTGAAATGAGATATTTTTCATCTACAGCTACAAAACCAGATTTTATATATATATATATTTAAAATCATGAGCCTGAACGGGGATAATATATTTTTTGCAATAAAATCCACACACACACACACACACACACGCACGCACGCACGCACGCACCCAGAAGAATATCAAATGGTCGGTCCCTTAGCACACAATACAAATGAATGATATATGGGGAGAATGGATCTAAAGCTATTGAAAGTAGTTGTTACACTACTATCATGTTGACAAAAGGGTGAATTGCAACGCGCATGTTCTTGGGAAATCACCCTAATGACTCAGCAAATCTGGGAGACTTCCAGAAGGGTTGGATAGACGTTATAATTACACCTAACACATGCCGAAATTGCTATGTCATCGCTAAACATTCATTACAACGATGTAGTCTACAGGTGTGATGGATTCTAAAGCTTTCCTCATGCTAAAACTTGAATAGTAACAATAATGCAAGTCATCGTTTATTGATACAATTCCAACAGAAGAAGTGGGCCACGCGTTTACTAGATCGCTGCATGTACACTTTTTTTTATATACACAGAATACGCAACAAAGAACATACGAATGGCTTGTGAATGGCGGCCGATACAGCACAAGCATATGCTCATTCATTTTGGTAACATGAACATCGAAGAAATGTATTGCTAGTCTATGTTTCTATAGCCTAACTAGAATATACACAAATAGTTTGTGTAAAGGGTACTAAAGACTGCTATATATATGATTGTGTTCCCCGGTCGTTTTTACCTCACCTATTAAAGGAACTATTCGTGGAAAGGTTAACCTCTATATAGAACCAGAGACCATATAATAGATTGTATGGTCTCTGATAGAACACATTGGTATTTTGAGAGAGAGAGAGTGGAGAGAAAACGTATATATTTTTTTCCTCCCCGAATGCATGCAGCCTATTGCTCAGATGACGTCGTGTAATTAATTTGTGATGTCATGAACAATGGATGACGTCACATCGTATTTTTCTAAGCAGTGAAACAGTCACGCTCCGCCGCCGTGGTGACAAAGCATAACACATAACTCTGGGTAGGAGAGTGTGAAACAGTGCATGGCTTCAATATTGATCAATCAGCATTGAGACTCGATAAGATACACATTTACGAATATCTTTTTGTGAATGCATCGGACTATATTTTTTTATGCGAACATTTCACGACATATGGCTTTTCCATTGGAAGAGAGGTCGATCACATGAGTGTGTGAACGACACGGCGTTCGTCACACTACGGCGCAGTGGTGACTCAGCATAACACCACTGCCACAGGCTAATTTGCATATCACGTGACCGGATTTTTCTCTTGTTTGTAAACAAACACGCTTTTTCAGAAATCAGAATATGGGAAGGAGAGTGGACGTTCATGAATACGTTTTTCACGAGACCGTGTTCTTGAAATGACGTATATAGATCTACATACCGACTGACTACTTCCACATTAATTCCTAAGGGAACCCCTGGGAATTCCCTAGCACGTATATAGTATACAGCAGCGTTGTTCCTGGGAATTTAGACCCTTTGAACTCAGCGAATAGAGAAACGTCAGAGAGTTTTTGCCTGCGTAGTCGTTCTCGACTATCCTCGCTGCGACCCATCCAAGTGAACAGAACAGACCCATCCAAGTGACTTTAAATATATATATATCTCGTCACGTTTATTGTGTCGCCCATTTTGACGTCTTGTACTTGATGTAAATGTTACGACGCGCTCTCATTCTGACTGATTTAAAAATTCCTGTTTTTCCCAGTTTTACAACACATCCAGCTGCATCAAGGAACAGGAGAGGAGACTTGATGCCAAGTCGAAGCTGCTCCTGTAGCCTTTCTAGTCTCTGGTTGATCTCTAGGTAGATTCTCTCGCGGGGTGGTGGACGGGCGCCATGGAGATTCTGAGCAAGCTTGTTTCTTTCCGTCTTCTCTTGTCTCTGGATCACTTTGATGAAGGCAAAAATGTTCGGATGGGCTCTGTGGACGACCTTGTTAAGATGACAATGCCACCCTTCTAGATGATTGTTGGTTCTGGGGCCAATGTTGTGATGATTCCACAATCCCAACCGAAACTGAGCATGGTCATCAATCCAGGTGTTGGTCATGTAGTCAAGGAACTGCACTGCTTGTGGGATCTCTGGAGAACTGTCCATGACATCTATGAATGTATCCTGCACCAGGTTGACAGGAAGAAGTGGAAGTGCGGCTGCACGGCGGACCCAGGCGTTGACTTCAGGATTCTGTTGATAGAGAGCACTGAAATCTAGTCCCTGCACCTTCCTCCAAAGGGCCTGGGATTAATGAAAGAAGCACCCTCTAACATCACAGTCTGGAAACTATGTCTCTATTGCCCTAATAGCTGCAACTTCAAAGTCCGTCTGGATTATTTGGGGCTGTAGTGGGGAACCTGTTGACTGGTGGACAGCATCCTTGAGAAGACGGAACAGACGCTCGTAAGTCTGGCGCTGGCGATTTGGCAGAAGGCAGAACACTATCTGTGTCATCCTGGTACCCATCCCATTCATGTACAGAGTGTCTATCTCTTGGAGTAGGTGAAGGCGGTCACTGGTGGCAAAACACAGAACCTTGTCTTTATCTCCGTCATCTATACAGAGAAAGGGCATTCCATCGGTTGTCTGCTTGTAGATATCAGGAAGATCTACTTCACTCAGGGACTGTGAAAGTGGAGGAATCGTCTTTCTTCTCTGTTTGTAGAGGCCACTCTTCTTGCTGTGGTGGGGCGGTCGGGTAGCCTAGTGGTTAAAGCGTTCGCTCGTCACGCCGAAGACCCGGGTTCGATTCCCGACATGGGTACAATGTGTGAAGCCAATTTCTGGTGTCCCCCGCCGTGATATTGCTGGGATATGGGCGGCGTAAACCCATACTCAGTCTTGCTGTGGTAAGCCGGGAAGACATTAGCATCCTGAACGTCGAGTCGGGCAACTTCCTCGTCGTAAATCATCTGGATGGGAGTTGTCTCTGCTTGAACTCTCTGTCGAAGTGTGCTGACAGGCTGCAATGCTACAGGGTCGTCTGGTTGCTGATTATGAGGTGACTGATTCCTCACAAACTGGCCAACAGTTGTGCATTTCCCTAAGCACCCGCGTTGTACACATTTCCAATGCACACATGTTAGCCTACGGTCGTTGAGTCTGTACCTGTAGCCATCTAGTAGGACTTGCTTACCACCTTTTTGTGACATATGATACTGGTCCTTCTTCGGGTTTGCCATGTCTAGATCTCTAACATGCCAATCTTACTTACTTACTTACTTACTTTAATTTAAGATTTAACGTGCGCTTTCCGACTGATGCGTATTTCGCACACGGGCCCGGCCAGGCCATTTAATGTGTTTCCGAAAGGGGCGAAAGTGGTCTGTGCAACCCAAGAGGGGGGTTTAGGGGTTGCTTATATAGAATTTGGGAATTTTGAGATGTGGAATAGATGCCGATGGGGTTGGGGAGGAGAACTAAGGGAGCTGGGTATGGTGGATGTTAGTTTGTTTATGTGATTTTGATTTGTTAGGTTATTGTGTTTTTAGATGCGTTTTATTAGTTCCGTTTTTATTAAGAATACGCCTAAGGCCTTGAAGTTTTCTAGTTTATTTTGTGGGTTTAGTATTGCTTCTAGAGTGAGAGCCTTGTTTAGATTGAGGGTGGTTTGTAATGCGGTTCGATGTGTTAGGTAGTGTGTGCAGTGGATGAGTGCGTGTTCTGGGGTTTCTGGTTGTTTGCAGTGTGGGCAGTTACCTGTAGTGTGTTTTTTTATTTTTTTTAGGTGGTTATTTAGGTTGGTGTGTCCTGTTTGGAGTTTAGTGATTACTCTGTCGATTTTTTTTGATAGATGGAGAATGTTTGGTTTGGTTAGTGGTTTGCTGAGCACTTTTTTGATTTGGCTATTTGAGTTTAGATATAGGTTATGCCATTTTTGTGTGAATTTTTGCTTGTTTACACTTTTAATTTCTGATTTTGAGATGGGTAAGTTTAAGCTTTTTTCTTGGATTTTGAGGGATAGTTTAGCTGCTTTATCGGCGTTTTCATTACCGTATATTACTACGTGGGCGGGTATCCACAAGAAGGTTATTTGTTTGCCTGCCTTAGTTAGGTCGTTGGAGCTTTTAAGTATTTGATTTATTAATTTAGGTCGGTTTTTGGTATTTTTGTTTTGGAGGGCTTACAGTCCACTTAGGGAGTCGGTAAGTATTAGAATTTTTGTTGTGGTTTTTGGATTCTTGATCATGGAGGGCTGAGGCCATGCCCATTAGTTCTGCCGTGAATATTGATTGGTTGTTTGGGAGTCGGAAGGATTGTGTGGTTTTAGTTGGTTGTGTGGTATGGACTCCGAAACCTGTGTGTTTGGAGGTCGGATCTGAGGATCCGTCCGTGTAAATGTGACACCAATTTGGCCAATTTTCGTGTATGTATGCTAGTGTGGTTTTAGCTATGTTTGGGTCGGTTTGTTTATTTATTTGGCTAGCTAGTGTTGTGTCTATTTTGGGTATTTTAAGTTTAGGGGTGAAGATATTTGATTGTTTGCAGTTTTGTTTAAGATTTTTAATTTGGTGTTCATTTAGGTAGTTTGTTATTCTTTG